CGGAAGTGTTGGCAGAGCTGCCAGCACTCCCAGCCCCAGTGTCTACCCTCTCGGAAGCCACGGTGGTCTCAGCACCTGAAGCGGAAAGATGTGAAGGATCGTGACGGCAATGTACGGAGAGCAAGAACACAGTCACCTGCCCGCCTTCACTTGCTTGACGGCACCTTCTCGACGATGAGCTTGGTGCAGCTAGTGCTGCTTCGGTCGCTTCGGCTGCTTCGGCCTGCAACTGCATATCTGCATTATCTGCAACATTGGCAACTGTCTTGCTTGAAGGGTGCTTGAAGCGTCAGTACGGCGGTTCTGCCGAAAGTTCTTCCATCACGGCCTGAAGTGCTTGCTCGACGAGGCCCAAAGTCAGCACCGCATCGCAGGAACGCGCTCGTCGCAGCTCTCGCGGGCTCTCTTCCTCGCCAGCTATAGGTATCAGTAGCATAAAGCACATTCCAAAAAAGAAGGCTGGTGTTCCTCTATCAATTCGAAGAAGGAGTTCTTCACCACGAGATGTATGCCCCGTCCGCTTTCGTTCTGCAACTCCCTGAGGTCCGCAATCCTTTGTGCCATGCGGGCCATGCTGCAGTTGATTCTACTCCGTGTATTGCAGTCAGCGCATCACCTTGCAACATCTCTGGGTTGCCAGCTGCACTATGTCATGTTCGCCGGGAGAAACTTCTTGGAAGATCTCCTCGACGAGCAGGCCTGGAGCCTGTGTGTTCCGCTCAACCAACTTGCGGGCACTTCTGCCGGTAGACTAGTCCTTGTAACTGTCGTCATTAAAAAATGGGTTGAGACAAAGTATCTTGACTAAAACTGGAGACAACCTTGCAAATTGCAAGGTATGAACAGGTGAGAGGACAGATGGTCACTTCTCGAAAATATGGTCCCTTTTGTGGTTACTATGATAAGGCGGTCCCGAATATTCAGGGTACCCGAATAATTGAGAGAACCCACCAGATGAAACGAAAGAAGATCTTAAGGTAACAAAGCATATTTAGTGGGTGGAATGGGTAGAAACACAATTGACGCACGTAAAGGCAGTAAACTTGATGCATTATGCCGCCATCGTAAGCTTTGCTGCACTTGGATTTTCGCACTTCGGCCTGTCCGGTCATCTGCGCAGCTTTCTCGAGGTTGTTTCGGACCTCCTCGCAGAGATCAGCCCATGGAATCCACAAAGGCGAGTGACATGAAGCCTAGCCGATGTCCTCAGCAGCGTCGGGTGCATTTCGCCCCAAGATGTGCACAAAAACATGACCTGAGAAGCTTGCTCAGCTTGTCTAGTAGGTGCTGCTAGCAAGGATAAAAAAAGCTTCAAGAAAGTGGGGCCGGCGCTGTCAAGGAGCCGTCCTAACCTATCACCCAGCAGCTTCTCGCACCCACGCCGCCTCAACTGCGCACTAATGATCGCTTGTGAGCGTAAAACAGAAACTGCCTCCTGAGCTTTGCACGCAAACTTGGCAGCGCGAACTGCTACGGCCGGTTTTTCTGCAGGATCTTTATCTGTCAGCTCCTTCTGCTTCTCCTGTCTTCATCAGAACTCAAACAAAAAGGAGGTTCTCCGAACCATGGTCCCGTTTGGAGATTCTAACGTAACAATATGGACCATGAGCGATGTGACATCCCGGCATTTGCTGGCGCTTGCTTGCGACACGGCATTTTTTGAATTATAATTTGCTTCAGCAAAAACCGCCTCAGGTCATGTTCTCGGGTTTTATCCTTTTCGGGCTTTCGCGGGCTAATCAAAACCAACCTTGGAGATTCCACCTCAAAGCTTCTCCGTTTGCGGTATAAGCCCTCCCACTCCCACTACCGGTTCGGGGCGTCTAACTCGTGAAACCTCTCGGAAAGCTGCGACCCGAATCCAGACGCCACAAGTGACGCCCTGCAGATGTCGCAAAAGCGATCTCTACCGTCCATGTGTCCTGAGCCCAACTGTGAAGACCACGAAGAGTCTGCCACAGCTCTTGCACCCGAAGCAGCTGCAGAATGGAGACGCAAGTATCCTTAGGCGTTTTAGGCACTTCAGGGAGAAATGCCCCGCCATATGCCATGCTCACAAACTCCTACAGCTTCTGCCCTGCCGGGCCTGCACGCCAATGATCGTCACTTTCACCGTGCGAGATCTTGTCAATGGCACGGCAAACGATTGAAACACCTTGTTACCCACGGCTCTGGATCTGGCTGAATCTAAGTATCTAAGTTAAAAGATTAAATTTCTGTAGCCCACTGCATCTAATGAAGCGACATTGTCGGTGACTGTAAAGTAATGCCGTAATGCCCCATAAATGTGTCTGAGACCACCGCCTGCGTGGACAGAACGCGAGGCACCTGCAAGAAGCCGCCCAGACGGCGGTCCTGAAGTTCACCTGGGCATCCGATGCCGTTGAGGTGCTGTCAATGACATCCACATGGCAAACGATAGAAGTCTGCTACTCTCGGAGTCTTGCACTCCTCCTCCATGTCCTCCTTAATGGCGGCCACCTGAGCTTGCCAAAGGCTTTTGCCACAGGCTCACACCGAAACTCGGCGAAAATGGGCCATTCTTCTGCCTGGTGCTCTTGGCCCTCCGTATCTGCCAGCTGCAGCAGCAAGTCCAAGACGGCCTTTTCATAGGATAGAGAGAGAGAGAGATGCAAAATGAGCTTAACATCCCACTTAATGCTTCGACTGCTCGAATTCCTCTCCTGCCTCGGTCCTCTCTAAAAGTCCGAGCCCAAGGGCGAGGACGTTGCCCTCCCAAAATGCCAGTTAAAAGCACATTTTGCAGCACGTTCTCTCCGACATGTACACACTTCTCCCCATGCTGCGGCGCGTGCTCGAAGGCCAGACAGCTTTGGATCCTGCACTCCGTGCCTACAGTGCAGCGGAGCAAGCAGCTCGCCAGAGCACCCCATGTGACGGAATGCACCAAGGTATAGCAAGGTATGCAAGTTGTCGAGTCTAAGACCGCCACGTGTTTGCTGTGAAGCCGTGAAGGCGGGCCCGAGTTTGTACGACCCGTGAAGTGAAGATGGCACCTTGCTCAGTTTCCAAGACATTCTCGCACCACGCCAGGTGTCCACACAAGGTCACATAGTGTCACAGAAAGGGATGCCAAGCAACGCAGGGAGTCGATGTGTGCCGCTCCCAGGTCCATCGTTGCCTACAAACGGATTGCATCCAGATATTCAGCTCGCACCAGCTAGAGAACTACATGCGTTTACATGCATCTACATGCTACGAAAAAAGAGCGACAAGCAAAGAGATTCCCGGGAGCCTCCTTCAACCGCCCATAGAAGGCAGCTTCCCGAGGCTTATATGCCTCTTGGCGGCCAAATACCCCCAGGGCTTCTGTGCATTTGTGAATACATTAGTGAATCATGCGATGCCAATGTGCACCAACTTTTGTGCCTCTGGTGGGGGTGGTGGCGAAGTCGGAGGAGGTGGCCGTGACTGTACTTCCATGTTTGGGATCTGCGCTGTTCAAACCTTGGATGGACTCACAACTTAGGACTTCTTTCCCAAAAGCAGCACTTAAACATAATCTCAGAACACATTCGCTCGCCACCATACATTCTGTAGTCCGAGCGGCGCCGCAAGAACTACAAGAGTAGAGAACAGGTGTAACTTGTGAAACGGCACATCATGTTGGCATTTGAGCTTGCAAAGCTGACAGGTCGAATTGCCAAGTACACTGGGCGAATGCCGATCACTTGCGTCATTTGTTTGGCTTATGCATTTTTGTGCCTTTGTTCATATTATGTGCTTTGTGTTTGCGTGAATTTCTCAGGGCGAGTTTCGGACTTCGACTAAATTTCCACAGAGTTGCCTCCTTGCCTATGGTTCAGAATTTGTCTGCAATCTCTCCTTTCCGGCCTCTGTGGGCTTTAGCTCTGGCTGTTCTTTGTCAAGTTCTACCTCCATTTCCATGGCCGGCCCTTCAGCTGGCCAGCTTCTGGTTCAAGACAAACTCAAAACAAAGCCGATACTCTCCGATACTCTGTTACAAGGTGTTGCACTGCAAGCCTTGCAAGCTGAGTCCAATTTCACAGGGCGCACTTCGAGAATGTCCAGTGAGTCTTTCGGCCTACTCTGCTGGCAGGCATCGCTTCCTACTGTTTATGCGGCGAAGATATCGCCAGTATGCTGGAGTGGCTCAGAAGCTGAAGTCCAAAACCCTGCAGAACGGGATGCCTTACGCGGCGCTGGGGAAGGTCTCCTGGTCGCAGTGCAGAACTCCACAATGCTTTGCCTGCACCGTGCAGAAGAGACTCTCGTCAGAACGTCGCCGTGAAGGAGACAGGGCCATTCTGAAACTGCTGGATCGGCCAGGCAGTTGAAGGGAGCATCGTGGCGATGTCTCGCCATAGGCCCGGTGGTAGCCTTTCGTTCGAACCGACTGCTGTGCTCTTATGGGTGCTTCTCCAGCCAGAAGACCAAAAAGAAGAGCCAGGAGTACCTGCGGGCATCCGAACAGCTTGTCAGTCGCGCAGCATCTCAAGAGCACTTTTTTGGGCCACGCTCAATCGCCTGCTTCAGCAACCGTGTAGCCATGGTGAAACTTGCCTCTTACGAGGAACAGAAGATTGGAAGTCCGGCGAAGTCTGGACGGTAACGTGGTAAAGTTCGATCCGGAAATCTGCAGCTTGCACTGACGTGTTCATTTGACTCCGCCTTTCTTCTTTTGCATTTCAGCTTTTCGTGTGGCGTCTGACACGCGGTCCGCCGACTCTTTCTTGCACCTGGCAGCATTCAGATTGCTCGCACTCGGCAGATGAATTCATCATCCTTTTTCTTCCAGCCTCTCTCTATCCTGCTTCTGAACATCGTCTGCATCTTCTTCCGGAGCAGCACTGGGGCCCTGCAACATTTACGCAGTGAATGGATGCCTTCAAGGCCACGTGACGGGCGAGGGATGGGCACGCGCATTTTCGGTGAGTGTACAGTCCTGGCGAGATGGTGGTCGGCCAGCATCCAGAGAAGCCGGCACACGGCAATTGACCTGCATACCAGCACCGAACATGTCTGGAGTGTGGCTTTGGTGTAAGTAGCTTTGCTCATCTTCGGTCCAATTTTCGTCGAGGTGGCTTTGTCGAAGTGACACGTGTCGGAACCACTTGGATCAACTTGGGCGCAAACTTTCAAAAAGTCCTTGTCCGCCAGGAGCCGGCGCGCCTGTGACGAGCATCCCTTTGAATTTGTAACCGCAGCAGAAGTCGCCAAAACACCAGTCCTCGTGATACTCTTTGCTGGCGACTTGAGACATGTTCTTCCTCTGCACCTGATGACCCACAGGGGCTTTAGCAACAGGAAGCTGGAACACAATGGGCCGCTGTCGCATCACAAACCAAAGGAAATCGCCTTGCCAGAAGAAATGAGCTGAGCGATGTTCTGGATGAACTTATCAACTGCACGCTGCATCTGCTGGTAAAACACCTGAGGCCGGCAACATCAGCACTTACAAAAGTGGCACTGGCAGCAATGAGGACATGTGAGGACACTTCCTACAGAATACACTGCCAGCCAACCGGCCCCAGATGTCAAGATGTCCTGGCAGGAGCCTTCCCGCTTGCGCGCAAGCTCAGGTATTGGCTGGAAGATCAGATGCCTTTTCAACTCGCACGCAGTCCTCGCACAAAGACAGACGATGGCAGGAGAGGTTGCAGGGGACGTTGCGATTCGTAAGTTGAAACCTGACTCTCCGTGCCTCGAACATTGACAAAGACCTGCCCATGCGATTGGCCCAGCGCTTCATGTGCTCCACCTGCAAGAAACTGAGCGATTATAAAAACAAACTAGAAGACGATTGGCCCGAAAGCATCGATTTGCGGTGCGTTGAGTCTATGCACTTGACTCTGTCCGCTCGAACTGTATGCACTTGGACAAGTGTATGCACTTAAGTGTATGCACTTATATGGTTGCATACTCACTTGTATACTGCACTTGTATACTGGACGTGTATGCACTCGAACTGCATGGCATTCAAGTGTGTTGAGTTGAATGCCATGCACTTGTGGTCAACTCTATACACTTCATTGGCATTCAATAGATCTGAAGTAAACGGACTTGAACTGTATGAACTTCACTTGCATGCACCCGACTCGGCTGCGCACGTCCTGTCAACGCGATGCTATGAACAAAAAGACAAAAACATCTAACGCGAGAGCCGTCAGCCATGAGCATCATCGGCAGTCGCTCTGAAGTCCAAGCTCACACTCCAGAGCGCCTTTCAAAGAAAAAAGGACAGAAGAGCGAGGTTGGCAAGAAGACCTTGGAGCTTCAAAGAGCAGAGAAGCACAGTGAAATCTGACCGAAGTGAGTTTCGCACGCCGGGAATTAAACAACCATGAAATTTGCGATGTTTTCGCACGCCCGGCATTGGAGCACCATGTGATTTTGCGAACTCATTATTAACCATGGTATTTGCGATGGTTTTGGAACCAGCGAATTCGGGGACCATGGTATTTGCCATGGTTTTGGAAACAGCGAATTCGGGGACCATGGTATTTGCGATGCTTTTGGAAACAGCGAATTCGGGGACCATGGCATTTGCGATGCTTTTGGAAGCAGCGAGTTCGGGGACCATGGTATTTGCGATGCTTTTGGAACCAGCGAATTCGGGGACCATGGTATTTTGCGATGGTTTTGGAACCAGCCACGGAAGCTCCTTGCGATGGTTTTGGAAACAGCGAATTCGGGGACCATGGTATTTGCGATGCTTTTGGAACCAGCGAATTCGGGGACCATGGTATTTTGAGATGGTTTTGGAACCAGCCACGGAAGCTCCTTGCGATGGTTTTGGAAACAGCGAATTCGGGGACCATGGTATTTGCGATGGTTTTGGAACCAACCACGGAAGCTCCTTGCGATGGTTTTGGAAACAGCGAATTCGGGGACCATGGTATTTGCGATGCTTTTGGAAACAGCGAATTCGGGGACCATGGTATTTGCGATGGTTTTGGAACCAGCCACGGAAGCTCCTTGCGATGGTTTTGGAAACAGCGAATTCGGGGACCATGGTATTTGCGATGGTTTTGGAACCAACCACGGAAGCTCCTTGCGATGGTTTTGGAAACAGCGAATTCGGGGACCATGGTATTTGCGATGCTTTTGGAACCAGCGAATTCGGGGACCATGGTATTTGCGATGCTTTTGGAACCAGCCATGGAAGCTCCTTGCGATGGTTTTGGAAACAGCGAATTCGGGGACCATGGTATTTGCGATGCTTTTGGAAGCAGCGAATTCGGGGACCATGGTATTTGCCATGCGTTTGGAACCAGCGAATTCGGGGACCATGGTATTTGCGATGGTTTTGGAAACAGCGAATTCGGGGACCGTGGTATTTGCGATGCGGTGTTTTCAGACGCCCAGGGCGTCCGCGGCGTATTACGTCTGTGCTAGAAAAAGTCGACTTTCCAGCCACGGAAGCTCCGCGTGTCCGCGGCGTACTACGTTTGTACTACAAAAGTCGACTTTCCAGCCATGGAAGCTCCGGGTGTCCCCGGCGTACTACACGTCTGTACTACATAAAGTCGACTTTCCAGCCACGGAAGCTCCGCGTTTGTACTACAAAAAGTCGACTTTCCAGCCACGGAAGCTCCGCGTGTCCGCGGCGTAAGCTCCGGGTGTCCCCGGCGTACTATACGTCTGTGCTACAAAAGTCGACTTTCCAGCCACGGAAGCTGAGCGTGTCCGCGGCGTACTACGTTTGTACTACAAAAAGTCGACTTTCCAGCCACGGAAGCTCCGCGTGTCCGCGGCGTACTACGTTTGTACTACAAAAGTCGATTTTCCAGCCACGGAAGTCCCCGGCGTACTACACGTCTGTACTACATAAGTCGACAAAAAAACGCAAAAACACTACGGTTTTCGCACCGCGAGCACGCGAAAACCCACAGAGGGGTTACGTTTGCATGTCAAGAAACGCAAAAACACGACGGTTTTGGCACCGCGCCAACGCCGAAACCCGCAGAGGGGTTACGTTTGTATGTCACAAAACGCAAAAACAGGACGGTTTTGGCACCGCGCCAACGCCGAAACCTGCAGAGGGTTGTCTGCGGCCACGGAAAAAAGTACCAAAAACGACGGTTTTAGCACCGCGACCCGGCGATTACCCGCAGAGGGTTGTCCGCGGACCTAAAGAAACGTAAAAAAACGACGGTTTTAGCACCGCGACCACGCCGAAACCCGCAGAGGGTTGTCCGCGCAAATCAAGAAACGTAAAAAAACGACGGTTTTAGCACCGCGACCACGCCGAAACCCGCAGAGGGTTGTCCGCGCAAATCAAGAAACGTAAAAAAACGACGGTTTTAGCACCGCGACCATGCCGAAACCCGCAGAGGGTTGCAATCCCGATTGGCGATGTCAACCCTGCCGCCTTAGAAAGAGTAATTTTAATTTAGAAATCTAGGACTGGGTACGCAGGTCTACTAAATTCTACGTAAATCTCGTAATTTCTATTAACTTCTACTTCACTCTATGCAATTCACTCTATGCAATTCACACTATGCAATTCACTCTATGCAATTCACTCTATGCACTTCACTCTATGCACTTCACTCTATGCACTTCACTCTATGCACTTCACTCTATGCACTTGACTCTATGCACTTGACTCTATGCACTTCACTCTATGCACTTGACTCTATGCACTTCACTCTATGCACTTGACTCTATGCACTTCACTCTATGCATTTCACTCTATGCACTTCACTCTATGCACTTCACTCTATGCGCTTCATTCTATGCACTTCACTCCATGCTCTTCACGCTATGCACTTCACTCTATGTACTTCGCTCTATGTTGTTGGGTCAGAGGGCTCCGCACGGAAGAACCCTTCGCGATGCTTTCGGGAACAAACAATTCAAAACAGTGTGTGTGTGTGTGTCTCGGTGTGTGTGGAGCGCATGTCACGTAGAGTCGGGTCTACTCACTCGCACACAGCCTGTAAGGTGCTCTGCTGAAGCTTCTCCCGGCTTTGCTCATGCTCCTGTGCAGGGAGCCCATGAAAAGCTCCAGCAAAGCATGAGCAAGTTCTCTCTCACTCTCTCTCTCTCTCTACCCCTCTCTCCTTCTGGAACAAGTTCAGTTTGGCTTCATGCTCCTCCACCTTTGAGTACAAACGCTGCCACTTGCACGGGAAACGATTCGCAAAAGGCTGCTGTCAGCAACTTGCCAAGCCTCCAGGTAAATGGCACGCGACTTGCTGGAGGTATCTGGGTCAAACGTGGCACCTCATGACAGAACGCGCTGCAAGCCGCTGGAAGCGACATGAAAAGCAATGTACGCCGATGAGTAGATACATGCAAGCCCCGTACCATCGGTGTCACGCTTGAAGCGCTCAAATTGCTCTCGGAGATTGTCCAATCGTACCTTGCGCATCTGAGCTTAAGGGCCAAAGGATGAACACCGCGTGTGATCTGATCCGCGCCTCCGCCTCTTTCACTGAGCTCTTCAGCTGTTCGTGTTCCACGTCCCTGTTGAGGAACCTCTGAACTTCTGTGAACTCCGTTTAGGAAGTCACATCAGCTCTGGAGCTAGTGGGGACCAAGGCGCTTATGGACGATGTCCATGACATCGGCCAGGCCTGTCACCTCGCCACACAGCCAAATCTCCGAGAGAAGTTGCAGACAGGTCAGACCTTCCCTTTTCTAAGAACCTGGAGGCTTCTTCGGGTTCCGCGTTAGGGGCTAGAGGGCGCCGGGTGAAGCATCAAAGAAGGGCTAGCAGCAAGCCCAAGATGGTGTAGAAATCTAAGTCTGATGTCAACTACTTCTTTATTTCTAGAACTTCTCTCCGGCCAAGCTGCATGCTACCATTCTCTGATTTCTACGCTCTGCCTCGCGGATCTTCTGAAATCCGTCCTCGGTGTTCTGTGACCGCTCCACCTTGGCAGTGGCACTACATCCACGCATGAGAGATCTGCCCATGCAAGCTACTATAAGCTAATACTAGCCCAGCTGCCTGCTCGAATGTTACCTTTTGTAAGCAATTGCCTGCAAGTTTCTCCACCTGGCAGACATCTGCACAGCTGTGGTGCGTGGTTCATTGCCACTGTCTGCGTCGGGAAGCCCAGCATTCAACATTGCCAGTTTTGCTGCGTAAAGTTTGCGGAGACGACCGGCAGAGGCGTTAAACGCCTCGTTCGCGGCATCTAATGCGACCTGCACAATTGTGTAGTTGCGTTGCAGCTGCTCACCACCGCGAAGGAACGTTCAATGCCAACCTCATGGCGCCAGAACTCGAACTTTGCTCGGCGTTCCTTTGCTTCAATCTTCGCCTGCATCTCTTCGGCATTGCGGTCACTGCTTTCCACATCACGCAAGGCCGAAACTATCGCCAAGGCCTGCAAGCAAGAATTCATCTTTGCCAATGCTTCGTCGCGCACCTTTTGGAGATTCGTGGAGTGGAACTCAGGTATCTTGAATGCAGAAGGCAGGAGCTGTAGGGAACGTACCACCCGCTCGTGCTCGACATCCTGCTCCAGAATATCCAAGTCCTCGAAATGGGAGATGCAAACATATGCAAACATCTCCCTCGAACAACACAAGCTGTTGAGGCAACGTGTGCAGTCCTGCGAGCACTGGGCCCCTTTCCTGACCAGACGCTCCTGGACTGCGACCTGATGGGTTTCGGAATTTCGGACAGTGCGGCACTCTGACCCTGTGACCCTGCGTCGAGCCTTTCTCTGGGACTCGGCAGTCTTTCTCTCTAAATGGGCCTGATCAGAGGAAAGATGCGCTGTAAGAACTTCGGCAAAAAACCTTTCTTCTGCCTCCATTAGGAGAAGCTTTTCTTTCAGCAGCGACTGCTCCTTCGTGATCCTTTCCGACACTTCCACTTCGAGGGTGTCACTCTGGTGCAATGTCAGGGGTTCGCAAGCGCCATGCGCTCCTCTCGCACATGTGATTGTAGACCTTCTTGGATGTCTTGGCCTCAAGAAGCGCCTAGGCAAACATTGCCAAGCACAGGTCGTGTCTAGTACGGACTGCCAAGACTTACAGTAGCCTGCTTCACACATTGTAATCACTGTGGCCTGAGGGCCTAAGGGCTGTGCTCTCAAGGTGTCGATAAGCTGCTTCTCGACGGCGTGCCAAGAGTCCTCAAACACCGCAAACTGCCGGAAACTCCAAGTGGTGCAGTTCGTTGGGTTGCTCTGATGGTTGCTCCCTTTCCTCCTTCTTGGAGGACTCGTCGGCGGAACCGTGACTTCGATCTGCCACACGAATCTGCTCTCGAAGCTTGGAGATTTCAGCCTGTGAGGTCCACATCTGGCCCATGCCGTGGTGCCGTTTCCTTGGATGTGAGAAAACATCCTGGCCTCCCTGCGCTCAGCTTCGAGATGGACTTGATCGTACTGAGCCCGGACATCTGCCAGGATTCGCCGAACTTCCTGAAAAGTAAGACTGTATGACGCAAGGACAGCAAGCGGGTTAGGCCTCCTGTGCAGGGGCGATGGCACAGACAGTGCTCAAACCATTTAGGAAGCTTCTTAAAACAACCAGCTTAGCCAACTCATTCCGGAATCACTTGGCCAGCTTTAGCCCTCAGGGCGCATGGCTTCGATAGACTTTTCACCGAGCTTGCGAAGCGATTGCGGAGGCATTTGCTGAGTGACGTTTGCTGAGCGACCCTTGTGCGAGGCGAGCGATTGAAAACATCTGGGCGGCAGCCAGGAACCACTTCGTTTTCAGATCCATGCTAGGGAGCATTGCAATGTCACCCCGAGCCATCACCAATTTCCTGACTCCTAGTTTCTGAAGTTAAGCAACAGAACAACCGAACTTCCTTGACCAGCTGCGCGCCAACCAAAACTGAGATGGCAAATCAAATGGACAGGCCCAAATCTGCCCATGACACAAACAAAACCTTGGTGCTCTTAGTCGGTGTTTCAGTCCGCATTCTGCTCGGTGTGCTTTTTTGTTTTACATGCAGAGGGGGGGGGGAAATGGTTTATTTGGACTGAGGAAAAGGCTCTTTCCCTCGCTCAATGCGGACACTTTAGAGGTCCCAGGCGATGTGCCCCTCCCATCCCCTTCCAGAACCTGCCGCAGCCTGGGGACCATTGCTCCGGTCTTAGGGTATCAAGGGTTTGGATCGTTAGGTTCTTGCTTCTCACAAGGGTGCCAAGGGTTTCTCGGGTTTGGGGGTTTACGGGTGTTTAGGGTTCATGGCCGAGGCTTGTACGATGAGTGTTTAAGTGCTGATTTCTTGCGTTTCGGAAGCGGCTCTCAGGTTTAGGTTTCATTGGCTTTGGGTTTCTTCGGTTGCGGTTTGCGTTTTGAGGTTTAGGGATGTCAGCCTTCGGGTTGATGGTTCAGACTTCGGGGTTTAGAGTTGCACGGCTTGCGTTCCCCAGCACTGCTGCAAACGCGTGTGTTATCTGCCTCCGGAACGCCAGTCTTTGCCGTCCATGCCCTGGATTGATGATTTCCAGCGGGAACTGGCCCAGGATTTAGGTCTGTGCAACGGGCAAAGTACGGGCAATGCACGCAGCTGCAAACCCTTCTACAGCACATACCTCGTCCGGCGCCTTGCATTAACCTAAACTCCCTGTATGATTTAACCCCGAGATTCTCTGTGACTGTATGCCATGTGACCATCAGAGTAATAAGAGTGTGCCACTGCGTTCAACCCATGTCCTCCACAGCTGTGTCGTCGCCAGACTGGAAAGCGCCCTTGCAAGTGTCCGCATCGATTTTTTGGCTAAACCCACAGATCCGCAAAAATGAAAAACTGTTGCACCTCGGTCCTTTCCACCAGCTTCAGGAAATCTGTGTTGCGGCTTCCGGCCAGAGATGCCTACAAGCGAATAGCTACCGAATCGCAGCATGAACGGATTGCATGTTGCCTTGAACCTCCTGGAAGCATTGCCGCTGCGAACCGCAAGCGTTCCTTCCCTTAGCTGCGCACGCAATTCTTTGGAGACCACTTGAGTCTGAGGCTGGCACTCTGACTATTCTTTCACAGTTTCATGGCGCTGAGCACCAAGCTTGGCCATTCTGAGCGCGCATTCGCACCCCTCTCGATCTTTGGGCCGTTGGAAAGCAGCACACGACGGCTTTCGAGTCTGTTGTGGCATCTTTTTCTGAGCTAAAGCGCGCAGCCCAATGCAACAAAGTGATTTGATCAGTTGAAAGCCCATAAGCTCTGCAAGCTGTCCAGGAAGGAGAATTTATCAGAAAAGTGCAGTTTGCCTTCATCCACGGACTTGCAATTGTTCCCAGAAATCAAAAGCTTTGTGTCAGGTGGCGCACGTGGCAAACAAGTGCAAAGCGAAGGATCTTCGCAAGCAGGTCGACTTCACCAGGAGCATTACCAGCCTCTAACGTCGTTCCGCTTCTTGTAGAAATTCAGGCGTGCTTGATCGGTGCGTGTAGGCGCCTCATGAGCGGAACGTCCAGCCAAGTCCAGCAAGACATGGCCGATGATGGTACCTGCAAAGATTCTCAAGCCGCCATACCCCAACTTGACAGGACCCGGCGCTCACCGCCCGCTCCAGGTCTGCTGCCGCTGCTGCGCGGTGCTTGCCGAGCTGTGCCTGTGGCTTCTGTTAGAAAACAACGCACTACGGGCCCGTGACTTCGAAGTTCATATGGTGATGTGTACACATGCGTCAGTGCTTTTTGCTCTAGGTTGGGGGGGAGGGTTGGGGGCAGTAAATCAAAAGCAAATACAACTTTTGGAGAGAGGAGTCTATGACTTCTTGCCCCCGGAGATCCTGAGGTGAAAGCTCCCGCTATCTGCTCACAATATTCCCGTTTGCACTTCTTCTTTTGTTTGTGTAGGTAGTCTCGTGTAGTCCCGCATGCAAGCAGACCCTAATGAAATCATAACACAAGCATACATGCATTCTCATATACCTATATATATATATATATATATATATTATATGTAGTTTTTCGATTTCAATATGATGTGTATAGTTACTCGACCTTGTATTTGCATTTCATATGAACAAGGACTCGTCTCCCTTCTGCGAACGACTTCCCGCCAATACTCACAAGACATGATGCGGTTCTATCGAGGAGGTTTAGGGGCAAAACGATCTCTCCAGACTCGCCAATCCCAAAACGAGGTTTGCCAAGGATTCTCGAGTTGTGTGGATATGTGATGGATCTTCTGAATATGAACTGCCCATACGACAACGTACATTTTTGCAGCACTTGATCCTTAGGAGGCAGCGCGCCTTGTGCCAGGGAAACATCCCTGTAACAAACCTTAACGTCTCCAATCCTTGACAACCTCTGGTACAAAAGTTCTCAATTTTTTTTGGGGGGGGGGGGTTGTTGATCGCTCTTTGCTTCAGAAAATCAGGTTGTGGGTAGCATATTCCAAAACAAGCCAGCTCTGATCTGTCTTTAAAAAATATCTTCGAAGACGTCCACTTAAACATGCTCGTGTCCCGAGCGCTCTTGAAAGAAGTGCTTTTTTGACCGCCGGAGTGCATTGGAACAAGAGCATGGAAAACAGGAGAGAAAACACCTCCGCGAGTACAGCACGGGCGACATGAGTTCTACGCTTTGCTTAGAATGAATTGGAAGGACTTAGGTTGAAACTTCTTCCCAGTCAAGCAGAACGAAGAGCGCATTTGTCCCAGGTGTGTCAAATGTTGCTCTTGCCTCCAGCTTCGAGCACTCCTTCCTGCTGGACTCCAAGCGCACGCGAAGGGACTCCACCTGCTTGCGTTCGAGGAGTTCGAGGAACTTTCGAGGACTTTGTCAAAAGCTGACCGCAGAACTCACGGCGTCTCTCCGAGGCCGCCTCGGCTCTCAACTGCGTGACTTCGTTCATCCTGGCAGCGGATGCCTGTGCACTCGCCTCAGAATCACGCCGAAATCATGAGCAGGTTGATACAACGAGAATGACCAAGGCCAGCTGACCGGTAGGCAGTTTATGTCAAATTGCAGTGTCTAACCTGGCATAAGCTGAATCAGTATCAACCCGATCTTTTTTGCCCTGAAGAGTTGCTTGACCTTGTGAACGTTTGGGAGATTTGCGACGCCTTCTGTGCCATTCTGCGCACACCTGCTGGTTCAAATGGATAAGCACCGCTCTCGCGTAGCCTCATGCCCAGTAAGGCTGCTGCCCTAGGATGGGCCTCCACCGCCTGCAGGCTGGGCACGAAGTGACTCCCAAGAGTCCAAGCTGTTCCGAGCCTTTGCCCGCTGTAATGCCTCTTGGCAGTCTGCAGCTGCTTTGGCTTCGCTGGCAGCCATCTCCTTGTAAAACAATCCAAAACATACCGTGGGAGTGCAGCTAATACTGGCTTTTCATGGCAATAGCTCCTGCGCGTGGCTGAGCTGTGAAATTAAGTCCTGCCAACAACACAACATGCCCGATAGCTTGGCGGGCAGCAGTCATGAATAGCCAGTATTCTCGCCACTCCCATCATGCAAATCACATGCCAGTGGAGCTCGCTCTTGGTGTCGTTGTTGCTCAACGCGGCCCATGATCTCTTCTGATCTCCGCATCAACTCAGCAAGCATCCCTTCCAAGTCCTGCATGACATGGGGCTCTCGAAAAAGTACTCACGACGACATTCGAGCACACTCACAGAGTTGCTTTGCATCTCAGCAGCAGTACAGTAGCCCAGATAGCTTAGCCAGTAAAAGTTCTTTGCCTGAACCGCACGTTGTTCATCAGCTTGCTCCTGCTTCAGCACACCGACATCTGGACACGTGAATCTGACGTCGTGGACTGATGCCATGCTCAGCCCCGCCCCGCTGCCTTTTGAACACTTCCATTGGATGTGAAGACATCCTTTGCCTTGGGGGGAATCAGATGTCAGGGTACCGAAGATGGGGCATGGAGGGCGCTGAGGGCGCACCTTGTCCTCTGATTCCTCCGTATGTTCTTGGTCTGACTCCAAATGCTCAATCGCATGCGCCACGTCCTCAACAGCATCAACAGCAACAACAACGACCCACACCAGGTAACCATGGTTTTCGCTTCACGGCAGCTCCTTGGGCACGGCCTCCAGTCCGAGAGCAGCCAACATCTTCTCAGCCTGAACATTGACTATGGCCATGGCACTCGGATTTCTTGCAGTGCATTTGGATCTGGTGTTCAATGCTTTGTTGTACCTCTATTAGTCTCCCTAGTACGTCGGGCCTTCCCCTGCCAGAACTGCAGTTGCTGTGATAGGTGCTCATTGGTTGCCGCAGCCTCGCTTGGCACGCGAGATGGTGGGAGAAACCTGAACTGGGTTTTTTGCTCATTTTGCGCCTGCGTACTAGCAGCCGCAAGAAGAGCCGTGCGTTGCAACGACTGAGCCTCGCTGGGGGTCTCTTACGAAATAAGGTCTCTTACGAAATCCACACATTATCTGCAATGATTTGGAGCATCACTCTTGATGCGCACGATTTTCGGGACTTCTACTATCTTCTAGCGCTGGTGGGCACCAGAACGCACAAGGCTACGGGTAGCAGTGCGAAGCCTTGTTCTAGCAAACTGCACCGCAATTGCACCGCGCCTCACGTTCGCGAAATTCACGCCGTAGGTCCTAAAGCGGTTGGAACCCCTTTTCCAATTCCATCTGTCTGGTGGTGCAAGCCTCCAGTCGAGAAGACTGCACAGGCTGTTGCGTCGCGGTCGCAGTCACCTGGTTACATTGCTGTCCCCAGGGCTGTGCGCCATGCTATCCCACTCTCCCGACAAGTAATCCCGGCAACATCATCATTGTGCAACTTGTTCAACCCCCACTTGGCAAGCAAGGAACCACGAGGGTTCCTTCGCCACGCTTCCCCGTCACTTGGACAACACTCGCCGCATCTCGCCGCCGAGGACTCGGGCCACAGGCACCGACCGGACCAGTGGGCATTTGGGGCCGACAATGCACCAAATACGGCAGTTTACCCCCCCGCTTCCTTTCTTTCCCCCTCCCCCGCCTCCCCCCCCCTCCCCCCCTCCCCGCCCCTTCGGTACCGCCCCATCGCCTCGCATTGCTTCCTTGTACGTCTCCTTGCTTTACCTCGACAGCATGTTAGGCAAGTTCAAGTTTGCCTACTCCCCCCCCCCCCTTCCCTACCTCTCTTTTCCCTATTTCTCCTCTCCCGCCCCATCCACTCTACCCTCGCGGCTGTCCCTCCCCCCCTACCCCGCTCAATGGACCTCGTATTTGCTTTCATGTTTACGCATTCTTGCTTTCCTTGAACCCCCCTCTTTCGTCTTCTGCCCATTCCTGGCTCCCTATTCTATCCTATTCGGCATCGTGTTTAAACGACCACCCAGCCTGGACTTCGAGCTTCTGCTCCTTGATGGCAGACTCAACCTGGCACCGAAATAGTGCATCTGTCAATTTGGGCTATGTGACAGCTCACTCACACCATGCCCACCGCACCGACAAGCGGACACATGGCAACACGTTTATGACAACGCGTAACGAACTGAGAACCCACCACATCCCGCCACTCCACTCAAACAAGCTTTTGAATCTTCCCCGCTCTCCAGAAAAGCGACAACAACCATGAGGCTGCCAGCTACTTGTTCGTTTTTCTGGTTCAGCATTGTGGAAAGTCTGAACTGGTCAAAGCGAAACAACTTCACTCCCAGTCCGGCACCTCCAGCAAGTTTGCCTGCAGCCGGCTGCTCTGCTCTGCTCTCTCGGCCTCCGGGGGCATAACCCAGACATAGAACACCACCTTTGAGCATTGGCAGCCGCACCTCCTTCGCGTGCAGTTCTTCCACACGCTCCTTCAACAGGGCCAGCCTGCGTCAAGCGGCACCCGGCGAGTGCTTGAAACTGCGTTTGAGTTTCCACACTTTCCACTGCCTCGCTTGAGTGTCGTCGGCACCACCTACAAGAGCAACGGTTCCAAGAAAACAGAGCGGCCTGCTGCAAAATCACTGACATCAACGCTCGGCCTTCATGCAGAACACCAAGGCCCTGGCTTCACCAATTTCGCTTCACACAGCTTTAGCACAGCTTTCGACCGCACAGCTCGGCCTTCTCCTTGAAGTCGGTGCCGATCTGGTGCTTCAGGTCGGCTAAGCCCTTGCAGAAGCTACTTGCAAACTGGGATGTCAAGGCACAGCATGCGCCAACTTGGCAGCAAGCAGTCCTACGTAGTCTTGTCAACCACTCTTCTTCTTCTGCTCAACGGCTCTCCCATTCTACCTCTGACTCCTTATTCTTCTGCATGCTCAGCATGGGGAGCCTCCACGATGCCCAAGTCCAGCTTGATTCCTCCAGCCTGCCGATTCGAATCAACCATTCAAGAGCAGAGGCTACCGGTACCGTGCCCGATCTGCCCTAAGTTGCAACCTCACAGCCCCTGAAGGGCTAAGGCCAGGGCTTCAAGGGTACGAAGGTGATGCTCATGATGCCAGGGGTTGGGTCAGGGCAGGGCCAGCACTTGCCGCCAGGCCCGACATGCTGAACTGCAAAGCATTAGTAGCTCTAGAAGATGCCACTTATATAGCCACGGGGCCAAGTCCAGACACCACCACTGAAGTCTGGAACGACCCCACGCGAACAACATCGAACTTTTTTCAACTTTTGTAAAGAACTCTCGCGCCATGACTCATTTTGGGGGGGGTATCGGCAGCCCAAGCAGGATGAGCATCAGCGACTTGGGCCCGGGGCTCGCGGGAAATGCCCAAAAGGACAAAAGCATTAAAAGCATCTCGCGCGTTTCACGCATGTCGCCGGTGCCCCGGCAGATTCTGCTCGCCCAAGGAGGTCCCTATACGCTGTAGCAGCTTCGGGGTAAGCATCATCCGAAGCTGCTGCGGCGAGCATCAGCTGCATCAGCATGGGCTAAATCTTTAAGGCCGCTTTGTAGGGCCACCCCCGCCGATGCTCACAGTTTGAGGACGCGGGGTTTTTGGCTCAGTCAAACTCAATGTCAAGGCCGCCACCGCTCACCCTGGCCTAAACTCCCTACACCTCCTAAGCCCCAAACGTTCCCAAACCCGAAAGCCCTTATATTTAGCCCTGCAAGATGTAAGGCCAATCACGGGCCGCTCCGCTTGAAGCCTCAAACCAAAATGGCCGGACTTGCACCCCTTTTCTCAGGTACAAATGGTAAAATTTCTAGCCACAATATGCTGCTAGGCCTCAAAATCTGTTCAGTACTAGTTTCCTGGAATTGGGCATAGCTGACCAAGCATGTGTACGCAGCACCCTTGCCATATTAATGTTGCTGGTCTCTCACGGGGCCTCGTTTGTGCCGAAGGCGTCTCCCACGTGCCTCACTGCAACTTCCACCAAACAATTTTTCGACATGCATAGCTTCTATGCATTTCGAGCCGTCAGGGGGTCCTGGTGAGCGTCTCAAGGTTCGCTTCCGTTGCTTTTTCATCGGCAGTGTCCAGCAAGTCGCCAACCCGTTTCAAGAGCCTGACATGATGCGTGCCCTCACGCGAAACCTGCGATGGCCAGCCCACGGGCCACGGGCAAACCTCATCCGCGGCGTCGAATCACGACACCATCATGGATCCAGGACTTGGGTCGAGCGAAGATTGAAAATGAGAAATCGCATCTGTCTCGGAATTTCTGAATCTCGCTAAGATGTCATGAGTCTCGCTCTGAGTAATATGCCTGCAGAGCAAAGCACGAATGACTGCTGCATCTTGCAAGTCCACGCTGCACGTGCCTGTGCGTCATTCCGTCACATGATGTTGCACGCGTGAGCTTTTTTTTGGCACGGGCCAACATGGCATTAAAGCACTTCGAGCAGGAACAAGGCATTTGCTTAAAAGCAGCTTGACCTCGCACGGAAGCGATGCAGTTACAATACACAGCTGCTCCAGCAGTGAACTTTAGACTGCTGGTCAGGTGTCAGCGAAAGTCGTTAACATGCTCGGCGTCATGGTAGTCTGCCCAATCCTCGGGGAGAAGAGCAGCCAGCTCCTGGCATTTGGTGCAACGAGACGTGAAAAGTTCACACTAGGCCAGAAGATGCCAGAAGCGTCCTGAAAAGACACCTCATCATTGCGAGATGCGTTGGGTGCACACTCCAGAAGGTGCCTGCCCGGGCGATTCATGGCTCAACATCTGTTCACATCGTCGAATGCAGAGTGGCTCATGTGGCGGTTTGCCTCTCGATACGTTGGTACGCATCACAATCCCCGCGTTGTTCGCGCCCTTGTAGGAAGTCCTTGAACTTGGCCAGCCTGTTACTGACCTGTCACCAATTGGATCTCTGCTCACCCTCAGTACGACAGCAACCTACGGCAACCCGCGCCTCGCGGTGCATTATGCTTGGGAAAATGCAGGCGGCGGATGATGGTCGTCGGGCAACCGCGTAAGTGACTCTGACGGAAGGGCTCGCATTGGGAGCCGTCGAGTCATTGCTGCCCCACACTGGAGCAATCGCGAAGGAGCTTCGCCAAAATGCCAAGCGCACAGCACCTCGTGGGCACAGATGGGCATATTTGCGTTGAACAGCAGCTTGTTGCCTTGCTCCACCTAGACCTTGCGCTCCCTCAGGCACTTCCCCGCCTGTCTGAGGCTTGGGTAAAGGAACACCCCGAAAGGTTCTGGCATTCCGTGAACGCTTGAAGGGCGGCGTGTAGCTGGAAAGCCTATCACCAGGGACAGGGCTAAACGTGTCTTCACAACATTGGTTCGCGAGTGAATGAACAGGCAGTCTTTTAGCACGGCGGTACCACAACGCACCAAGTGGTTCGTCCAAGGCATCCATGCAGCTGAAGTGGAGGATGTTGTCTTCAACATCTCCGTGTCCAGATCGACGAACGTGGAGCAATGAATCCTGCAGCAGCTCGTTGTCCAGCCTTTGTGGGAACATGCGATTCTTGCACCAGGTAGGCACGCCGCACTACAATACAACCCCAGTATGGGTAGCAATCAAGGTCGCGACTGCCCCACGTACGTGTCGTCGTTGTACTCATCTTGTTGAACATATTCGCGCAAGGCATCAAAAGTGTCGATGAGGCTGAAGCCAGGGCAGACAGTCGTCGCCACAGCTTGCAGTGTGTCGTGAGTTAACCTGAAGGCCATGTCCAGATCACGCTTCTCATCGCGATCCTGCACATGATAGCGCTCTTCGTTTTACCGCCCCCCCCCCCCCCCCCGGTGAGCCCCACTGACCGCATGCATAACGAGCACCGAGGAGGAATGGCTACCCTAGGCACGCTACCTGATGCTGGGCTCTCTAGGTCTTCTGGATGCGTCCTTCATCCAGCCACTTCCAGGCTCTTGCACCAGCTCGTCCAAAGACTCAGCAGTCGATGCGAAACATACTGAGTGGGCAGGCGAATTTAAGTCCCATTCAGCTTGGGACCATGACTCTGCAAGACGTCCCCAGAACCCCCCTCCCCAAGTACATGTGCACTTTGCAAGACATCACTTCACACATTTCTCACCGACAAGTCGCAACCATAAGTCTCAAAGCCCAGATATTTCTGCCCCCTCCCCGCTTCCTAGTTTTCCCAAGCCCGGCACGAACATAGTTTAGACAGCCATTGAGTTTTTACGCTTTCTCAGAGATCTGGGAGTTGGCTGCAACCCTGTGTCGACAAACTATGGGAGCTCAAAGATGCTCAAAGAATTGCGTTCGTATAGGTTCCTTGACTTATTCGCAAAAAAGAAGAGCTGCTATATTAACTATTATAGTAGGCTCTCTCAATGCACGGCGCACAAGCCGGTGACTATGGTGGTTCGTCTTTTGAAATGTCGTCTCGCATCGTTGGGCTGCCTTACCTGCATGGGTTAGCAAGACGATCGGCATCCACTAAGCTAGTCACAAAGTCCCCAAACCTCTACAGGAACAAAGCAGACTTAACGAGTCTACCGTAGTCTACCATGCCGGCCCCTAGCCCTAGCCGATCTTTGCCGATCAGCTTCTTCAGCTAGCGAGATACTCGCCGTCACTTTGAGGTGAAGCATACCCCCTAAGTTGTATTTCCGGGCGGGAGGAGTGGGTGGAAGGGGAGGGGGACAGGAACGGTAGCCTGAACTGTTTTCGTTTTGTCTTGTGAGTTTGGGGGGGGGGGGGGGGATGACCACTCTTCTCACGGTCGGGGGAATGAAATTGGTGCCTGCTGACGGGGCCACTGTACTGTGCCTCCTATGAAACCCGGCATGAACCGCACACAGCCCCCCTCCTTCTCGGAAAGCTCTCCCCGGTTTTGCTACGGACTGCGTGGCAAGTCGAGAAATCAAGTCGAAAACAGCATGGACCGAATCAGAAATCAAAAAGGACCGGGCCAGAATAACAGCAAGGATTGAGTCTGCAATTCTGTTGTCCCGTTTCAAAAGAGCCAACCTGCCCGCGACCCGTCGATGCCATCCCTCACGATCTTCAGAGAGACAGCAGAGCCTTTGCATGCGAAACCCACCCCCCAATCCCGCCAAGACCATCCCCCTCAGTACCATCGGTCGATTTCGGGCCCATCTCGGGGGCCCTTCGGTCCCGCCTCAAAAACTACTAGGAACCCATGTTGGCGCCATTTCTGCTTTCGACTTCGATGCAGGGCGTAACCTATTTTGACTCTTGCGAGGTGACTGACACTTTGCCTGCTTTGAAAGTCGCTCAAGCGCATACATGGTACCTCTGTACCTCTCCCGCACTTTGACAAAATGGGCACCGGAAATAGGTACTCAATGTAAGCCCCCCCCCTCCCCCCCCCCCCACGCCCCCTATTCCCCACATTCAACCGCCAAAGCAAAGTTTAGCTCAGACAAGGCTCTTGCATGTAGCTGGCCTCCACCCGGTGAATGACTTCCAATGCAGATTCGTCCAGAATCTCATGAAAGTGCCGCTTAGACGAGCGGGACTTCTGGACCAAGCGGCTTGCCTGGCGTGTACTTGCTTCTTCTGGAATCATGAATTCGGAAAGCAAGGGTCGCCTTGCAACTACCAGCATCATGGCCCATGATTCGCGGTTTAGGCAAAACAGTGGTCTAGACATCGAAGTTATACGGATATGCCGTTAAACCTTTTGCAGGAAACAACCTCCACATGTTGCGCTTCCATCAACTTTCTACCTGTTCCAAGTTGGGTTCTGCGGGGGAGGTCGACTGCCGAAAAGAATAAGCTCATTGCTCAAGAAGCGTTGCCTCCATCAGTCGGCACGAGTGCCAGGCATCGAGCAGAAGCTGCTGATCTGCTTCATCGTTCCCCGTTACGTGCAAATGAGGGGGATGCGTCTTGGCACCTTCGTGCTTCCAGGAAGAATGCTCACGATTGATGTTGTGGGCACTGTGGGCACTATGGCCGCTGTGGCCACTGTGGTGTATTGATGTCTTGGAGGCGTCTTTCAAAAGGCCCTTCCCTGTATCTCCTGTGAGGTGCCGCGCTGGCACGCCTTGGCCTTGGCGTCGTCGTGGTCGTGCTGAGCTTGGGCTACTGCCACCACTGCTGAAGCTTTGCAGGGATGGGGAGTCGTTGTCCGAGAGTTGGTAGAGGTGTCGCTTGTGTTTGGTGGAGTTCGAAGCATCCAGTGAGTTTGCGCCCTTCTGATGATCATCCTGAACAATGAGCAGCTGTTGGGCATTGCCGCCATTGCCCCTCGCTTCATCTGAATTTTCAATCTCCAGAGAATCTGAGGAATTGGTACTGATGTGTGCTGCTTTGCATGGCTTCAGAGTGACAAAGCATGCAAATGGTCCAAAGCCCAGGTCGCAAAGTGGCAGGTGCTGCGAAGGAGTTGCTGCTGTGGACTCGCTCTTCATCCTGCAGAAAGATCAACCAGCTGCTTCGGGCCCTCTCGCTCAGCTCACTCCATAGCAGGCAAGAACCAGATGTAGTACAGTTTGTACAGCAGTAACAAAGACTAGAGGCTGTTTCCGCCATGTCTTTGTATCTGGCAAGGCCACAGGCCGTAAGAGTCGGGACTTCCAGAAAGCTTAGGAATGCTATTTACAGTAGTGTTCTAGCCGGGAGTGGGATATCCTTGAGCAAACGGCAAGCGCAACGACATCAGAACAGCTCGGAAAGAGCCACCTGGCAAACACTGTAGGCAACACTGTGGCAACTCCCAGCCCCTGATCCGAAACCTGTCCTGCTCCTGAAGTTCAGGCAAGCTATTTGCAAGATATGTGCAAGATGGCATTGAGAGGTCCCCTCTTCCCAACTTCTAACTTTAGGGGGAGGAAGCGGGGGGGGAAAGGGGGAGGGGGAGGAAAAGGGGACAAGCGCGGATCAGCATTGGGACTGCATGGGACCTGCTGCGCTCCTGGCCGGGATAAGAGCTGGACAGCAATACTCATCCATCTTGCGTCTCGTACAAATATCATACAGTTATTCTGGTTCCTGAGGTTCCTACTGCTACCTTTGATAGCAATAAGTACTGAATCGTTTCATGGATTCTGAGTTCAGGGGATCGGGCATTGCAGTTTTTCAGAGCAGGCCATTTGCATGTTTGCTGGGCGACTTCTGGAGGACACTTTGGGGGCGCTATGACTGCTGAAAGAGAGGATTTGCTCACATGGCTCAGGTGTTGGATGGCGTTGGTATGGACGTTGTTTTTTCTGAGCTGGTTGTGAGATGGCAAGCACAGCACAGTCAGGAACGATCTGGAAAGTGTGCCGGGTGAGACTTCGACTCGACTCGGCTGGACCCCAGGTCGAAAAAGTGCTGGCACTTAGCTGGGTTTGACACATGCCCGCTTCGGGGGCCGCGGTCTCAATCTTAAACAGCTGGCAAGCGAATCCTGGCACTGGCACAGGGTCTTTGCGCTCTTCACTTCACGGGCATGCGTGATTGTGCGACTGCAAAAAGACAACTGGAAAGATAACTGCAACATCATCCTGCCTCCTCTGAGCCGAAGCCAATGTAAGGTGGGAAACTCAGCTTGGTGTGTACCTGAAATCGGCAAGTATCAACAGCGGCCGTGACTGGACAACCTTCAACTCAATGGCTCACCAGCTGCGGATTCTCGAGAGGAATGGAATCTTGCTCCAGATTCATGTACTCTCGATAGAAGTCCTTCGGCATGCCAAGTACAGTAGGGCACATGCGGGCACATGCTGGGGAAGGAAACGTACATTCCGGCACTTAGTGTTAACCCGTGTGCCCGGTCCCGAGTGAAGGAGTCGCAGTCATAGAGAAATATGTTGCGGCCCAGCACGTTCACACACTGGAATGGCGGTGAGAACGTGAAGACCATTAAGAGTCAATACCACGAAGAGTTGGAGGCAGTGAAATCAGCGAAGCCTGCCTCACCAACCAGCAAGTCCTCCGGCTTGTACACCACCTCGAAACACCAACTAAGAAATTCCAGCGTGCTACACTCCATGACATGCCTTGCTACAGCGTTCACGGGAAGCACCCGGGGCCAGGCTGACTCGACCTCCATTCCCGGAATGGCGCTGATGTTCTGGCGGGAGGGCTTTGGGATAATTGGAAGATCGTGCGCATGAGGCGGAGAACTGGGGGCTGACTGGGGGAGAGCACGGAGAGCAGCAAGGATAAGGAGCTGCAAGGCATTGCAAGGCACTGCAAGGGCCAGGCCGGAGTCTTGCGCAAGGGAGAGCGGCGATAGAAGGTTGGATACGGATCACGGCCAGAGTTCCTGAGACCAAAGTGGCTTTAAGATCTTTAAGTGCTGATTTCATGGTGCAAGAGGCCGTTTCAGCAGCTGCCCATGTAGTTCCAGGCCTGGACATGTTCTCCAAAATCTCAGCTGTGTCATCCGCAAGGTAGTAGTGCAAGGTGTAGTACCTGCTGCGGACACATCTCACAATGACCATACCTCACCCTACTCTGAAACACCGAAGCACGCCTGAGCTAAGCTCTGCGGAATCGCTACGTACCACTTCGAGCATTTTCGAGCATTAGGGCTATGGGGCACTGGCGTGTGCCATACTTGGTGTGATCGTTCCAGTAGCAGTTGAAGCGGAGAACCTCTGCAGAAGCAGTTTGAGCATCGTATCTGTTGCGACCTAGTTTGGATTGAGGCACAACCGAAGAGAAACTCTCCCCGGACAGCTTCCAATGATGCCTTCCGGTCGTTCTCTAGGTACTGCTCCAGCTTGGCATTCTTTCTGTTGCCACCCGCAGAGAGGTGGTGATACTGCAGCGACAAGAAACGAAAGTGCAGAGACATGCAGAGGCGCAGGTACGCAGCGTGAGCGAGATTGAGCGAGATTGAGCGAGCATGTGCTGAGAGCACATGTGCATACATGTGCTATGCGCCTCCTTGCTCTCGGCCAGACTCGCACTTCTTGCAGAAATCAACGCTTTCGTCGAGGGCCTAGTGCTGCTTGCCCCTTTTCTTGGCCCATCTGGCCCATTTGCGCTCATGTGACTCATGTGACTCATGTGGCCCAAAGAACAAAAAACAAAAACACACACACACACACACAGACAGAACACGAGAAGCCTTTGGAGGGTTCGAACATCGCCATTTCTTCAAGCAAGTTACACAGCTTAAGTGGAGCCTAATGTGCTGGCTCTGGCGACGTGGTGAGAGATCGAAACCCGCGGAAGTGGTGTCGCGGAGTCTTCGCATTTTTATGCTTGGCTCCTGCTGTAGCTTGGCCTAACTCGGGGGGAGGGGACTTGACCGCAGCGGCATTGGCTCACCTGGCAATTTGGCCGACTTGGTTCGGGTGTGGACCGATTTTGCCTTGAGTCAAGTGCGCTTTTGCCTCTGGACTGGCTAACCTTCTGAAGGTTTGCTGGAGCAGGTTGCGCGTGATGACTGTCCGCAAGGTTGCGAAAGGGAACAGCTTCACCTGTGCGAAAGGAGCAGCAAACAGCCTGAGGCAGCCACGCATTCTCCTGCATCTTCATTAATCTCAGCATTATTGCATGAGGCGCTGCATGCTGGAGTATGTGCTGGTGCATGCTAATGTCAGCAACATCTCCTCCATTTCGGAAGCTTGGAAGGAATCCAGCGGGGCATCCTGAAGCAAGGCTCAAGACTTCGGCTCACAGCAGCTCTTTGGGCAATGCCGCATTACTCACGGACCTTGAATGTAGCAGCAGTAGCAGTTCAATTCGGCAAAGGCAAGCATGGGTAAAACTCGGCTGGGGTTTGGAGTGGCCTTCTAGACTCTAGACAATCTCAGGCTGCAGGATGGGCAGGCGTACTTAGATGGGCCACGCTGCAATCAGCTCTCATGCGTGTTCTTTCGGGCCTTCCTGGAGACAGAGCCGTGGCCATGGAGATTCACAGGCCGAGATGGCCCCGATGCCACGAACGAACCCAAAGCCGAAACACTTTGGCAAACGACGCAGAGAAAAGAAAGACAGAGGGAGGGAGAGAGAGAGAGAGCGAGCGAGGGAGGCGGGAGGGATCAAAAAAAAACTCAACAGCCAATCGAATCAACAGCTTATGCAGGTGCAGAAAGGTCTTCCTCGAAACGTCGATAAGACGTAGGAAGCGGCTGCTGCCCTGCAAACAGATTTTTAAGCAAATGTTCTTTCAAGCTTTGCGTGCTTCTATATTTATTGCTTCTTTTTGACGGCGGTCTCAGTTGTTTTCATGCCTTTTGTATTCCAATATGTTCCATTCTGTTGTTCCTTTCTGTGTTATTTCTGGTTGTTGTTGCACTGCTGACATTCTTTCTGTTGGCTCGTGTTTTCCTGCCTTCCTTCCTTCCTTCCTTCCTTCCTCCTTCTTTCCTGTCTGTTCTGCTTTCCTGCCTTGCCTGCTGCGTTCCTTCCGTCAACTCCTTTTTATGGTTGGTCTTGCGCGACTTTTGACATCCATCCAGAGAGAGAGAGAGAGAGAGAGAGAGAGAGAGAGAGAGAGAAAGAGAGAGAGAGCGATCGAGCGAGCGAGCGAGCAAAAAGCAGAGTCAGAGAGTTGAGGGAGAGATGGACAGAGAAACCACAGCGGGGTCTCTCGTGCAGCTTTCTCTGGACACTGGCTGTTGCCAATAGAACTCGCCGACGACCAGTTTAGTTTAGTTTGCTCAACAAAACTGGGATAAATTCTCGGACAAATTTCGAGGCATAGATGAAGTACAGATTCTAACTTGTCGTCTTGATGCCGTTGGCTGTGCCAAGGGAAATCCATGTGAGGAAAGCAAAAAAAGAGAGAGCACTGGGTCCACACACACCGCATGAAGCCAGCGGAACATAGTCAAAGGGACACATCGGACGCCTCGTGTGAACCCTCAAGTGGCCAGTACTTCTGGGAATCTGGAAGTGGAACGGCCAGAACGACTGCAACAAGCAGCTGGGCTCCTGATCCGCCTCAAGCACCACGCCGAGCACATGCAAATAGAAGTCTCTGGTGAACCTGTCCAAACTTCGACGCAGAGGGCAGCCAATCAGAAAACGCAAGAGCTCAGGCCAAGACTGATCACACGCAACAAGGCGGAAGAGCTTGGAATAAATGCTGATGGTGCATCCCACCCTGACAGCATTCAGCAATATTCAGCAGGACACTGCATACTCAAGCATGTGGAAGCCGACTCAGACTCAGGCCCCAAGTCATCATACGTATAAAGACCACCACCCATGCAGTCTGGCTTGGGCATACGATGGCGCTTTATCAATGTTCCTGCACGTCGCGCGCAGCCACGCGCGGCCACGTAAATCATGCAGCTGGACGAGGGATGAGGCAGCTCCCTGTATCACACGAGGTTACACACATCACAGCTGCCCATCCTTGGGCCATGCCGGAGTTCTCCACCTTTGGCTCTGACACCTTAAGTCAGAACGCAGCGTCTATTTCTATGTTCATTCCTTACCAACGCTCGATCCATTCCAGAGGCGTGGGCCATCATCGTCCCATCTTCCAGGTAGAAGTAGATCGTGCAGCGCCGTATCCTGAAGGCTTCCTTTGGGCTTTCATAGACCGGCTCCTCTCAAAGAAGACAGAAAAGAAACTGTGTGAACAAACTTGTGATCAGCACTGAGCCATCAAAAGCCACTTCGCGATGCGAGGCGACGCCTGAGAGTACGCACTGAACTTCAGAACTTGCCGATCATGCTCCAACCAGGCCTCGGCAGTCGAATGATGAAAGAGAATGCACAGCAACACCGGCAGCGAAAGACAGCACGTCTCGACTCTGGACCGCGTGTCGCGTAGCATAGCATTCAGCCTCAGCACAGCGCTGGTGGGATGGCCGGCCGATACGTGTTTCGAGCGGACTCCCTCATGGAGTGCTTCTCATCGTGCGTTGGCGACCTGCCATGCCGCGAAGGAACCCAACAATGGCCAAGTCTTTTATGGCTTGTCTGGCCCCGAGCAAACTGTCTACGCAAATGTCCACCGTGGCCTGTATGACATGTCATAGCGATGAAAGGGATCTCGGAGTCTCTCCACAATGGCCAAGTTCAGCTTGGGAACCTGGCAGTCTAATCATGAGTGAGTGACTTTAAGGACCATGCCTTTGTGGCAGTGTCAGAGACAGAGAGAGAGAGAGAGCTTGGGCAACACGGTTCACGGATCGCAGGGCCTTGTGAGGTTTTTTCTTCAATCTGTGGAATGCATCTGTCGAGCCGCCAGGACCCCATGAGAGGGTCTGCGGCTTCCGGCTGTCGAACTTAAAGTCGTAGGCCTGGCGATGCACAGTCAGTGAGTCAGGCGACAAGAAGTGCCGAAACGTGCAAAAAACATGCAGGGCAGGCTGAGTAGCCAGGTAAGAAAGGCAGCGTTGACCGTGTTGATCTTGGAGTGGAAGTCATGAGGCGATCTTCACCTGGCTTGGGCGGAACACGAAAGGGCGGATCATTCTGCTGCAATGCTGTATATAGAGCCCTTGTCTGTAAAGCTTGCCATGCCCGTGTTTAGCAAGACTTGACCAAACCTGAGCTTCGTTGGGGGATTGAGCACTGTTCCAGGTTTCAAGAATGGGTTTCTGGGAGGTGCACGGACATTCCAGAGTGCGTTTACAGAACCTGAACGGTCAGGCGATGGAATATTAGGCTGAGTCTGCCGGGAACCATAGGATGTGTATGAAACACGTGCGCAAATCCCCAGAGACCACCGAAGAGCTGCCTGGCAGGACATCTCCCCCCATTCGCTGCGACTTGAACCACAGAATTGCGAAAATCATGAGACTGCTTTGTGTACTGCATTTCCTTCAGATGAGGCTTCAGCGGCAAGATCTCGAGGCAGCGATTCACTCTTTTTGCTATTTTGCTTTCTTCCGGGTCTTTTTAGGAGCTTTCGCTGGCTCCTGTTTGCTAACGTGCCTGGCGGGTCTCTTCTGAGACGCAAAGATCTGTAAGCCTGTCGAGCTTGTGGTTTCCGCGAGCCCTGCGGACTGCAAAGAGGGGAGCGGCGCCTCTTTGCCAGCAGACATTCCTGTTGCGGAATTTGTGGACCCAGCCTTTGCACTTCTGTCGCTTTTGCGCTTTCGCTTCTCTCGAAGCAGAGCGGACATCCCGTCTGATTTCCGGAACTCTGGATTTGTCGGGTCAATCTCGAAGTCGGCGCTGCTCAAGACCTTCTCAAGGCGACGGTCGTGGACATCCATCTGAAAAGCGTTCGAGTCCTTGAGGCCGTGGTCATGGGCTTGCCTTTGTGGACCTCGAAGGTTGAAACTTCTCTCCTCCATCTCTGGTGGTTCTACGAGCAGCTCCAAGTCACCTGCGGGCTCCTCTTTAGAGCTGTCCTGCCTCTTGTGACCCTTGATCTTACCAGTTTCCTGTGCTATACTTTCTTTCAGCTTTGCCCGCTCTTCCTTGGCCTTCTGTCTCTTCTCTCGCCTCTTCTCCTTCCGCTTGTCCAAGTACTTTTGCCAAGAACTTTGTGGCTGCTCGGATCCCAGGGTATGGACTCCCCGCCCGCCCTGTTTCTGGGCGCGCTCTGCCAGCTCTTCCTCTAGCCTGGTGGTCTTGAGGTTGAAGGTCGCTTCCATGTTTCCTAGCTCTTTGCTCGGCTTCTGAGTGTCCGAATCGCTCTCACCTGCCTCACCACCCTCACCACCTTCGGATTCGCTGTTTGCAACCAGTGCCTTCAATTCCTGTGCTGCTGCACCTTTGGCACCTGCCTCAGATTCTGAGCTAGAGGCCAAGTAGTCCCGGAGGTCCATGTCAGCAAGCTCGGCTGCAGAGAACCTCTTCTTCATGAGATCCTTCTTTCTTTGAGGAGGTGCTTCATCCCAGGTGCACTTCACTTTGGTATGTCCAGTGGCAGACCGCAACATGGCTGGGCCCGAGAACTTCTTCGGAACTTCAGTTGCCACGCTGGATGCTTCGTGTGGGGGTACCAAGTCGTCAGGTACGAAGCGCAAATCCAAGGTCGCGGGGCAAATACCTGCAGCAAAAGCGCAGGAAGCACAGTCAAAGCATACCCAAGCGTGCTCTCGAAGCGGCAAAGCGGCAAAGCCACATTCCATTGAAGCGATATGCGATATGATGCGATGCTCCATTAAGGCTGTGGCCGTCCGCCTCGATTCCATCCATCTCGTCGTAGAGCCACGCGGCGGTGGACTCGGAGTCGCACTCGACCAGCGCCCAGAAATACTTGGTGCGGTCCATCTGGTACCGCCCTGGCAAAAGAGGTCACAGTGGCATGGCAAACCATGGCAAACCATGGCAATCTGTGTCACAGTATTTCAGTATACTCCCAAGAGGCAGCAGCAGAATGGCCTGTAACGAGGCAAAGCTCACAATCATGTCGGGGCGTCGCAGTGCTTCTTGTTCTGCCTCTTCGTTGTCCTCATCAATGTGCGGTCTGGTCATCTCATCTGCGATCAAGGGACCTTCAACAGCCTCGTTCAGCGCATGACTCTGGATTCCGTGCTGAAAGCAAGTGCCATCAACTGCCACACCCTGCCTCACGCTGCGTTCGTTGCAGGCCGTAGTCTGATGGATAAACGCTGATTTTTTGCACCTTCAGACTGAGGATGGTTTTGGAGGTTTGTATGAGCATACAAGAGGCGCCAAAAAACTGCTCATGATGCAGTTATTCCTGTCAGTATCCTTCAGTTGGATGCAATAGGCCAGCTGTGGTTGCCTTTGAGTAATGCGTCGACATCGACATTGGCGACAAAGTCAAGCTTTCTACCGGCTTTGCCGACGTGTGCCTAATGACCCATGACGTCGGCTTCACCAGGAACCTAATAGCAACTAACAGTCAACTTGCGCACATTTCATGTCGGCACTCTTCGTTCATGCGGTAGACTCTCTGTCCTGCGAAATCAACACTCGGCTTAGTCCAACTTTTTGATGTACCAACTTGCATACCTGAGACCAGCTAATTTCTTGATAGATAGACTTCCTCCAAGTGCCCATACGAGTGACTGCACCCAAATCACCCTTATTGATTATATTTTTTGCATGAACTGATCCTCTAATCGTGTGGACGGACATTCGGTCAAGATGCGTTGCCAGCTTGGTTCTTGGATCGAGCGGTGCTGAGATAAGTCCGGAACATGACCTGGCCACTGCCCTGACTGTGCACAAACCGAAGAAGTTACTTCCTTCTTGTTTGCTGCATCTTAATCATAGCCCAGCGCACCATGAGATCGCCTGCGGCAACATGATCCCAGTCGCAACCCATGACGGCAAGCCGTCGGGTTGCATCTCCTTTGGGAACATTCTCCTGAGCGACATTCCAAGCCGAAGAGCTTTGAGGATCTTCATCGGCTTCCTCCGACTCGTCATCCTCATCCTGCGAACTCTGCAAAGCTCGAAGCATCTTGAAGCATTGAAGCTTTTCGAGGACCACTGCATCCCAGATCCAAGTCCACTTTCATGGGCTAGGGTTGCGTAATTTGACTGAAAAAATAAGCTTGTCTGTTTTCGCGCGCAAGTTACACAAGGCTTTGGGCATGGCTGAAGGGCTTTAAAATTTGGGACTTCAAGGGCTTTGGCTTGCGGCCCCTGGGTGCGCATGAAAGCACGTTCCTGAGCCCATTTTTGTTGCAACTGCTGTCCAAGTCGGAAGCTCGCCACCAGAAAATATCTGGGGGAGCACCCATTTTGGCTTTGGGTTCTGGGTGTGGGCTTTCTTCTTCAGGGTTGGTTTTCGGCTCAAAGTTTGGGGCCTTAGGCAGGTTTAGAATGTTTGGCTTGTTTTGGCAGTTGTGGTTGTGAATACCCACGCCTGTGTCTGCGATTGAATCTTAGGGTGTTTGCATGGTCCCTCAAACGGGTACCCCTTATACACCCCGTATATACTCTATACAAATTAAGGGCCCATACATCAGAACCCTTTAAAGGAGGTTCGGGACCACATAAAGGGCCCATGAATCCCATGAAACTACCCTCAGATTGAAAAGAGGCAAGCACACCAGTGGGCATCGCGAGTGCGCCTAGGTTGAATTCTGCAAGCCATGGCCTCCACAGCAGATTCCTCCTCCAGCTCTTCTGGAAGATCTGCCTCGGAGTCAAGCTCCGCCTGGTCCTTTCTAGAAATCCCTTTATCTGTTTCCACACCGGCCAAATCGTAGAACTCCTGCAGCTTCTGTTTTCCAGCTTTGCGGCTCAACCTCTGGCCACGAGAATCAACCTGGGGAGTTTCGACGAACTGCTTGTCTTTGAACATGCGCGCAAAACGCCCATCGACTTGAACTCGTCGGACATGTCTGGGAGCGCGCTTGAAGCGAGGGTCTTTGGAAGTGTCGAATCTTTCCATGGCCACAAGCCCAGCACCAGGGCGAGCATCCACTCAAATGAAGGATAACGAAGGAAGCCATTCTCATGCGGTTACTCTCCAGTCATGAGTGCAATACAGTGCAATGTATGGTGAGTCTGTCAGGCTGAAGCTGCGCCGGACCAGGGAGCCAGCGTCTTAATGCTGTGAGCAGACACCACAGATGCGAAGCATAGAAACAAGCTTTAGCAGCCAAATCGAAGCCATCAAGTGCAGACAACATAACCAAATTGGCAGTCGTCTCACTTGTTTTGCGTCGCATCATTGCCCTTCACAGCACCCTCCACCTCACTCTCAGGCCATGTTGACCTCCTGCAGCAGTGGTAGCGCCCAGTGATTGCAACAAAGGCACTAAACTGCCCTTCGCTGCCCTTCCTGAGCACCGGTGTCCGGCACTACCTGTCATGACGCGAAGGCACCAAACGATACTCTGTTGTGGAGAAATATCTTCGTCTACCGGGCTCAGGGGTCAGGTTGTGCAAGACTGTCGCATGGCAACCCCTCTGAAAGACCAGCTTGATGCGCAGCTGGCCTCTCAGTAGAGCAAGCTATCGTCTTGAGAGGACTCGGGGCCATCATTGAGCTCCCACGCGTCATCCTCAAGTGATGTCAAGCGAATCAAAAGGCTCACTCGTCATTCGACACGGCATGCCCCAAATTTCTAGAATTTCAGAAAGCGCCTCGAATCCTGGAGCTCCCAAGCTGAAGGGAACATCATCTGCGACATAACTGGAATCGTCCGCGAAGTCGTCTTCTGCGAACTCATCTTCGCCGAAATCATCTGCCTCGTCGAACTCCTGGGGTTGTGTCATGTGTGACCCACTTGATTGCGCACATCAACTTGGCTGCCGCAGTCAATACGCCAAAGCATGGCTGCCGGTACCACTCCTCTTCAACGAAGTTGGAGGCTAGCTCGATGCCCTCCTGGCGTGCAGTTTAATATTCCCGCGAAAGCTGACAGCAGCGATCAAGCAGCACAGCATATCCTGCGCGGAGGTTTCTCCATTCTCTTCTCTAAACTCTTCGAAGATCTCGCGCTCCGTCCTGGTTCTTTCGCCGGGGCATTTACATGTTGCCCCACAGTCTCGCTCAAGGAAGCCGAACCATATGACAATTCCAGTATACTGCAAATGGGTAACTTTTCATTAATCGTTCAACGTAGTTCAACGCTGGCGGGCCTTGCAACCCAGCTGTCTGTTTCCTCATCTGGCTCTGCTGCTTCTTCCAGCCACTCATCGACGTGCGGCACATACGGGCTCCAGTGAGCCTGGCATCTTTTGAGCTTGCAAAATGCAAATATGAAACAGTTTTCATGAGATTTCATGAGAACACACTGTCAACACACTGCCCCAAACTTATCGGGGCCGGCACCTTCTCTGCTTCGGACTTTTCTCGGTCCCGCTGCTGTTCCAGTGTCATGCCTGGCATACCCAAGCAGAGGCCAGAGGCGCATTCGCAAAAAGGCAAACATCCTGAGTCGCGGGCGTTCTTCGCCTCTGTCGAGACCTTTAACGAATTGTGCGCCAGTCATCCGTGCTGCTTTGACCTGGAAGCCAACAGGCGAGCACAACCGAAACAGCAACTGCACAGCAGGCAGCTGGCCAGCAAGCCTTGTCAGCCATTTTGGCAGACGGGGGTTTGTTGCCCACTAAGGTGATTTGGCGCTGGTACTTGATCTGGCAGAGGTCACAGCTGTTTGCACAGAATGCAGATGAATGTGGCTTTCATCTTGAATCACTGCCTTCTCAACCCACAGCTCAAGCTGAGCGCCACGGGTAAAAGCACTCCAGGCATATTTGTGTAGTCTGTCCCATTTGTAGAAGCCGTACCTTGTCACTGTGCCGCAGCACATTTCCGCAGCACATTTCCGCTGAATGGTGGTGCGAAGGCTCTCGGCATAGTCTGAGGAACTGACTCGTTTCTCTCCCGTGGATGTTCTCGCACGTGGAGGCGGGCCAAACAGTCGCAGCCAATATCGACAAGGGCCCATTTGTCCCAGACTCTGCGCACAATGCCGGTCACCTCCGTCAAAGCATTTCAGAAAATTTCAAGGCATTTGGAGACCTTCTGACACTCTGTTCTGAAATGTTCAGAGAGAATTTCAGCCCGAAGCCTTCATCCCTTGTTCGATGTCGTGGATACTGTAAGGTCTGGGCTTGCCCATGAATAGTTCAGGCAAGTCCTGAAAGGCTGTGCTGATCTTCAGAGAATTCTGGGATGGTCGGGCCACGACTGAATTACAACAGCTCTGCGCCGCTTCCTCCTCCAGCCGCATGGACAGTCTCAGAAGCCCAGTAGCCGGCACACATTCCACGACTCTGACCCGCACGCTCTCCCCCAAGTGCACGAAATTCATGATCTTGTCCTGGCCAGATGGACAAGTGAATGCTGAATACTCTTCGCAGACACTACAAACAGTCATGCAATCACACCGGCATGCTCGACCGCCTGGCGGACATAGCCTCCATCGTCTTTAATCTGACCCATGTGGAGGAAGCCATCAACCCATTCTCCGCTTTCAGTGTAAGCGCCCACATCCACCAGCACTCCTTTGTCATGTGTCGCTGACACACGACCCTGATCAGGGAGATGCTTGTGCCACCTTGTGCCCCTGTTGGCGCATAAATCTGTCGCAAGGCCGTTCGCGTGCCTCCAACCACATTCCTGCACGAAGCTCACTTATGTGATATTGCCTGTCAGGTCATGTGTCGGATCGGTATCGAGCCCCCTTTTCCGAAAGTTAAACTGGTCGGACAGACGGCTGCAGCCGGAAACCACCAAGCTCGCGCTCGATCTTTTTGAAATCTCGGAACTGCTGTGCCTTCCAGAGTCTTTGCACAAACAATGTAACAAAAGGGATGATCTTCTTGTTCATGGCTTAGCAGCTCAAGCGATCATGTGTGCAAGTATGGTCTTGGCAGTTGGAACACGACGCTGAGGCGACTGCGATGACCTGCTCCTTCATGCGTGCTTGGGCTCTGCGCACCTCTGAATGAAGACTGCTGTGCTGCAAAGCGGCGTTGAACAAAAGCAGGCAATGCTTAAGCTACTCACGAATCACGGGGTGATTGGGCGAGGTTAAGTGTTTGAGAAGATTTAAGAAGGTGGTTCGAGATGCCAGCACTGACGCACTGACGCACATGACGTACGCACCCGTATCTTCCAGACCATCGCTTTCAGACTGACGACACATCTACTCTTAAAATACCTGCATGCCATGCCAAATTCCCTGCATGTTTCGGGATTTCGATGTCTAACCCATGCAGGTGCACAACTGTCTCGAGTCGGTCGCAAAACCAAATCCGAATGTGTGCGCTGACCTGAGATGCCCGCACCACTTCGCAACTGCACCCCCGCCGCCCGTCTTGATCTACTGAAAAACCACAAAACTAAAACTGGGTGTACAAACTTCGATGTTCCCCCCTGGCTCTTGATTGACTCTACGAAGCCAAGCCAGTTGAGCAGAAGCAGAATGCAGCATTTGGGGCTTCTCGTCATGATAGTCGGCATTGCCCGCAATGGAAGTGAGTCAACCGATTCAGCCGCAGAGTAAAACGAAGCTGCCTCGGTCCAGGACAGATTGGGATCCGGAGCCAGCTGCCTCTCCATGTACCTAGCGCAAAAGGATGAGGGGTCCTGTGAGATGACACAGTGTGCCATTGACTTTGGGTCGCATCTCGTCGGAGAGCTGCCACAATGGAAGTCGCCTTGCAATTGGGAAGCCGCATTTTTCTGTACGAATCGGCGCCTAAAATGAGGAGAGCCTCGACAAACTGGGTCTGTGGCTTCGTTGCGATGACTTCCTTCTCTCTTACAATGGGGAGTTGCCGTCGCCGCACCTGCGATCGCATCAGGTGGCAGTGCTCAACACAATGCACAGGTGCACAGGTGTGCACAGGTTGCCAGCCTGAAGGCTCACACGACTTCGCTTCTTGCAAGAAGCCTCTAGCAGCTTTAGCAAGCAACTGAAGGTTCAAGATGTTGAACATTGCGGAAGAGGTCGAAGGACATGTCATTTCTAGCAGCGGATTGAAGCCAAGTAACTCCAAGAAGCGCAGCACCTCCAAGACAAAGCCCAGATTTGGCAGGTTTCCACTGTCTTTCTGGATCATCTTGCCGAGATCGCGAAACCAACTCCTGTCCGTCGCAAATACGCTCGCCACTCGCAATGCCCGGAGCGAAGCGCAAGACACGACGTGCGACGTCCTGACTTGGTTGCCAGCTGTGGCCACAAGGCCTGCGAAATTTCTCACAGAACGAGGCTTACTCCACCCAAAGAACTCAAACGCATTACGGCTGTACCAAAGGCCCGGCAGGTTGCAACAACGTCTGAGTCTTTAGCAAAGTCCGCCATAGGGGGGCAGCTGACAACATGTCCATGGCCGCACTTGCAGCCATGCCGAATCAAGAAAGTCATACTGTAGCCGTGAATGGCTGCAAAGGAAGGGTGGGACCTGTCAAATACAGCGACAGGTGGGATCGGTTTGCAACGCAAGCAACTCCGCAGGGTGAAAACGTGATATCTTTTCAGGCAGCGATCTGGTGAACCACTGTTGTGAAACATGGCAGCATATGGCAACTGAAAAACTCAACAACGGATTCATCGGACTCAACGTTTGGCAACTGATCGCAACACACTCGCCGTGCTCATGCGAAGAGGCCACCCAAGCGACTCAAGGCCTCGGAAAAGGGCGCCCACATGTGCCCACCCAGTGAACACCCTGATAACCTCTGATCCCCTTTACGGAACATCGAAAAGCCATTGAGGCCTTCTTCTCCAAATCCTGCAAGTCGTCCAAACTTGCAATCTTGGACACAGGTAAGGAAGCCTCCGGCACTGCGACAGCTTGAGCTGCGCTCATGTCTACCGCACTCTGCAGTTCTAGCCCTATCAGTTGTGCCGCGCGGTGCCTTCTTCTTTGGCTTGGTCTCTGCTTTTTCTGCTACCGGTGAAGGAGGTGGACTTTGTGGACGTTGTGGGGACTCGGAGCCTGAGCTCCAGGCCAAGGCCACAAACAAAGGTGAGGGAATGTACAATGTACATTGAATCTCAATGAGCTACGACGGATTACGATTACGTCCAAATCATCGAGTTGCTATGACGAGTTTCCTGATTTTTAATAATTCGAGCATATTGGACCAGAAAGACTTTACATTGGCTCAGGCACTTCCTGCATCATCTGCGTCGTCCTCCTGTGCGCCCTTCGCTGCGCGTTCTTTGCGTCGCATGGTCTGGTGGCGCTTCTGGAGGCGCGAACGGCTCAAGGCCGCATCGGAGGAATCCCGTGTAGCCTGAAGGCAACAGCCACAACTTGGTGGCATTTGGGGGCCACGCGGATCTTCATTAGACATCTACTTCAAGAGCTGCTGCCAATACGGCATTCTGCATTCTCGGGCTCGTACAAGTTCCTGCTGTACTCGTTTCAAGAAACTGGCCCGGTCTCCTGCATGAGTCTGGCTGCTATCGCAATGCATGTGCTACGAAGTTCATGTTCAGCTGACTGCTGCAGACCTTCATCTGGTACAGCTGAACGTTCCTGGAGCTCGTCTGCCAACCTCAGAGTGCATGTGCTGAATACGATGCGCAATGATGACGCGGAAAGTGCTAATAAGCAAGTAGCTGCGCCAACTCGGAGCTGACTCTTGTTCCATGCTTCCCAGTGAAGAAGGTGTGCTGGCCACTCGCCTAGGGTGCTGATATTGTAACAGGAGTCTAGAGTCTAGGAAACGCACCTAGCTCGGCTTGGACAGGGACATGAACAGCTGATCCATCTTTGCGAAGCTTTATGCGCTTCTTGCTTGGAGGTAGCACTTCAGCTTGAGATTCTGTGGGGCCATCGCGGCCATCTTGCTCAACGAGCTGTAAGAACTCCTCTTCAGCTGGAGCTTCCTGTTTTGCAGGCTGTTGGGCTGCCTTGCTGGCTGCAGCGATGCGTCGCTGCCGACGCTCCCATTTGCCAACTTTCCTCTTGGAGCTGTCTTGCTGGCTAAGCTCTAATTCCTCCTCCGCCTCCTCTTCCTGAAGACTTTGTGTCATCACTGCACTGCGAACAGCTCTGTTGCCGAACTGGGCAATAAGGCAATAATATGCTCCACAAACACTGTTGCAACGACTCGCTAATTGTACACATGTCCTCGACCTGTTTCGGCTCTGGTTTTCCGGCCTGACGAACCGCTGTGGTGCATCGCATAACGCCAGCTCCATCTGCTGCCGTGGCCTGCTTCTTTTCTCGAATCTTGTCCTTGAGCCTCTGTAGAGCAGACTGGTTCTTTCGCTTTTTCAGCTTGTTGTGCTCTGTGTCCTCGCCCTGCGCCTTGCAGAGCACAGCAAGAGCATTTCTGTGGAGAGCTGCGCAGAGCTGCGCAGAGCTACGCAGAGCGAAGAGCTTTGGCAAAGGCGCCTCCCACTCGGCTCCCATCTCTGGCATGTCAGCCAAGCCCAAGGACTCTGCAAAGGCGGTCTTTGACAGAGCCTGGCAGGGAACTGTCGCAAGATCCATGCAGTGAAATGCAGTGCACGGAATCCAGGTGATTCCAGGTGGTCCTGGACGTCGAAGATTTCTTTGTCTTTCATAAGGCGGACCTGGAGAAACACCCAAAAAAACAGCCGGACTGGCCGGGGGCTCGGGGGCTCAGCGGAGCTCTGCGGCGATCCAGGGTCCCACGCTGAACGGATGTAGGAAGCAAAGGCCCGCTGAGCGAGGTGGCGGATGTCGCTGGATTCCGCAAGCACCGAGGCCTTGCGAGAAAGGCTCCGAAACATACGAAAGAGAGATTGAGTCCGGAAAAGACCTTGAAGTGAAGTGTAAGGCCAAGGCTAGCTTCTGCTGGATAGACACAAGCTTCGACTGCTTCGCATTGATAGCCCGCACACTCACGCGTGCCTCACAAGTCACCCATGTCACCCCTGTCCCGTTCGAATCAGTCGAGTTCTGCTTTGCCTGCAGCAGCTTGTCCACGAAGGGCTTCTCAGATGGCAACAGGAATAGTGCCGACTTGCCTGCGCCTGGACGATTAGTTCTAGGATTTAGGAATTAGCCAGCAGCCATGGTCATTCAAGTCCTAGACCACTTGCATATTAACAAGGCCACGGCTTTCATATCTAGCCGTACGGCCGACCTGCAACGGGACTCACAGTCAAGCGTGTATCCCGAGGTAGAACCATTCGCCAGACCCACCGCAGTTAGGCGTCATGCTCGATGGATGTAGGAGTCCACTGTGTCGGGGCAGTCAGCCTGCGATTCTGTACTTAGTAAAGCGAGTAAAGCTCAGTAGCCATGCACCTGGACGACCCAGTCAACCGCTGGAAAATCGACACCTGGACAGGAGTGCGCAAGTAGAACTGCTTGCTTGCCATGACCTTCTCCTTTGCCCTTGTGACGTCTGCTGTGCTGCGCTGCGCTGCGCTGCGCTGTGTTGCGTGGTGTCGTGTTGTGTTGGGTTGTGTGGTGTCGTGCCGTGTTGTGTTCTGTTAAGAACACGAGTTCCGGAACCCTAAATGGGATGTTCCATGATGCTCGAAAAAGTTCTGCGAAGAGCGCCTCGGGCAGCGATGTCGGTGCAGAAGAGGGCAACAGCACGCTCGCCTCACCAAGCGAATTTCAACTCAAACCGAAGTCGGGTAACGGGTATTCCTGAGAGGCAGTGAGAGGAGAATGGAGACGAGGAGACTCCTCAACCTCCGCTTCAGTCGCTGTATCTTCGATCTGCTTAGGCTTGGGAGCCGCTGAATCCGCTGAGCGTAGTAAGCATAGCCCAGCATAGCTTTTTGTCAGTGTCTAGCTTTCCTCATGTGAAGCCAAAGAACACGGAGCTGTTCAACTATGTTCAACTTGGTGCCGCTGAGTCAAGGGCGCTCCGTAAACTGCTGAAAGATCATCATCCGCTTCGTGAGACTTTGTCGACCGTGCAACTCCATGACTGCAGGACCTGGCTTCAACCTCAGCGAGCTCTAGGACTCTAGGACTCTAGAGGACTCCAGGCCGTCTAGTCAACTGTTCCAAATAGCAAACTGGGTTCTATTTTTAAACACCGACACAGAAGAGGCCTCCTTGGGAGCTCCACAAATCCTGAAAGCCTGTCCAAGGGAGGAGATATATTCTTTACAGATCCTTGTTGGTTCTGTTCATGCGTGTATTGAGTTGAGACGTGGGGCCTGTGACAGAGTTAGTCTTCCAGAGGCACCTCTATTCTTTAGGGTGTGGATGTCGGAAACGCGTCCAGAACGTTGGCACTATGTCTGTGGCCTACGTTTCCAAGCCATTCTCAGTCTACAGACTACGACCGTCGCATCCCGCACCGCTACCATGCACAAACAGAACTTTACCCACGTTCGAACTTCGCAGCGCTGGCCTAGCTGAGAAACTTCCACTGGCAGAGCGGAAGCTCAGCAAGAAGATGGACAAAACCACTGCTTGCACTCGTACGATCTCGTAAGCCAAGCACTTTCTGAAGGCCTCGTAGAAAAACCTTTGTCGTAGTCGGAAGAGTTCGAACTGTGCCATGCAGTCACCACTGCTCACCAGGACTGGCTAGTGAGGCTCTGTGGCCCACACCGGACTTGCTTGCAGGTGGACACAAACACAATCGTCTTCTTCTGTGAGTGTGATCCTTGGCATCTCATTGTCGCCATGATCGTAAACATCCAAGAACGTGCCATACCGCGCCGTGCATGTACCGTCAAGGTGAACATAGGCCCACGTCCTCTTGCACCTTGTGGGCCTTCTGAATCTAAATGCCGCCACACTCCCCCTCTCAGACACTGGACTCACACTGGCCATGGTTTCACATTATGAGGATCGCAGAACCCAGTAGCCACTGATCGTAAAGCAGCGAAGCCATGCTCAAAGACATGTTACAAAACAAAGCATCTGGTTCTGGACCTTACTTGCGAAGCCTAACCCTCAGGCAATGAGCATGGACCTCAAGATCTTGACAGGACCGGCAGAACAACTTTCTTGGCCGTCCCCCCCCCCCCCCCCCCCCCAACCCCCACATGCCCCACCCCGCACAACCCCCCCACCTACGCCCTCCTTGATTTCTCCCGAACGCCCCCACCACGGATCACAACACAACACGACATGCATCAACTCATACGAGGACACACAGAAATCATGGAAAGCAATCAACCAACCTCCTTGACGTGCTACCTGACATTACAGATGCCAGAAATTCCAAGGTGTTAGAACTCTCGGAATTTCGGAATAGGCCCAATTCCTGAAATCCGACAATCCTAAAGCTCGGACAGCGAGACCATGGGACATTCAGTGAAGCACAAGCTTAATGAGTCTAAGATTCCAAAATAACTTGAACGATGTACAAGTAACCTTGTAGAATTCATGGGAATTCCGGGCTGACTTGAGCTGTAGCTAAATGTCAAATAGACCGCGGTTGCCCTCCTATCAATACCTGTCAAAATACACTGGGTGTTAACATGTATCTTGCGTGAAAATCCGGTAAAACCGTTAATGCCGATTCGCATCCCAGTACAGTTAACGGCCCAGTTAACATAGGCCTCTAGTTAGGTTGTACCGGGTGGTGTTTCAGCACTATAGCCGTTTCGAAAGAAATGGTCAGCTTCAATGTTTGTTCTTATTCTCGGTATTTGCTAACATCAGAACCGACCTATCACGCCAATTAAAAGGCTCGAAAAAAATACCGATCTATCGTGACTTGATACCTTCTCCTTCGACCCTTGAAAGTTTCGACCAAACCCCAGGGGCTTTGAGCACGTATTTAGCTTCTCATAGAAGAAAACCTTAACATCTTTCAGATACGTGGAATTGGAAGCCTATTGAACTCTTCCACAGTTCAGCCATGTTAAACCCTCAACAAATTCTTTGCAACCCCTAAAGTGGGAACCAAACCCTCGATTGCAATTTCAAGGGTCTCAAGAACTGAACCGGTTTTATGAAGTTTGAGCGCACTCCCATTTGGGAAACTGAAGAACATCCTCATCCATGTTTGTCGACTTCGACGGTTTGATTCACGTAGGAAACCTGTCGGAAACCTCACGGAGTGCCAACATCACTGGAGCTTTGCGGAACCTATTCAAAGTTGGTGTAACATCTCAAAACAACTCTGGGGCCTCTTGAAACTGCAGACCGGAACGGGAAATCGTGCGTTTTGAGGCTGTCCACATGCATATGAGTGTCACCAGTTGTCCCAGCAACTGTCCTTTATTACTTTACTAGTAGCCTCTAACCTAACTGCCTTCAGCGAGTCCTGATGAACAACCGGCGCTGGGTTCAGGGCTCAAAAACCTCAAAACCAACTCAGACACGGAACAAAACTTTTATAAATTCCTACGCTGGGCCGAATCGGGTGCAAAGGGCAACAAATGCTTGCAGGCTTGCTAGGGCAAGGTCTTTTGCAACTCTGTGGTTTTGTGCAGCAAGGGCCGTCAAGGGCATGTTTTGTGAGCCCTGCGTTGTGTGATCAAGGCCCTGCTTGTTTTGCGAGCGTAGTTTGTGACTTTGGGCTGCCCCCTGTCCAGGGACTGAACAACGCCCCCAAACCTTCCGGCACGAGCCCCCCCCCCCCCCGCCCCCCTTCCCCCCCTGCTGGTGCTAGCCGACGATGCCAAAACCACCTATCCACTGTTAAAGCTGTCTTAATTCAAGCCGGCTGTTGTCAACTTTCATGACATTCTTGGGCTATGCCAGCTGAGAGAGCGTCGAAGGAACGAAAACAGCGTGTCCACCTTCTTCTCCAAAGGCACAACCATGAAAATCTGCCTCGCAGGCAAGTGCAACTTTTTGCCTGCGTTTGCTCATGCAGTCACTTGCTAGTGCCGGCTCAGGATGCGGCTTTAGAGTTTCAGGTGTGCGACTTTTCGCATTGTGATGCACAGACACCACCTCTGGGCATCATGCAATGAGCTGCTGTAAGATGCGGCAACAAAGAACTGAGCCAGCCGTGCAACCGGCCATGATTGCTATTGAATCGATTGACAATTGACATGGGAAAAGTCTACAGTATCTGCTGGTCTCGCTAGAATTATTCACAGAACTTAGGGCTTGCCTCCGGAGACCGTAATGCAGCACGGCCAAGTCGGTGCACGCTGCTGTGCAGAGTGGCAGAGAAGAGAAGCCTGTGCCCAACTCTGGTCCTACAAAACAAGCCGCCAAGTCAAGTCACCCTGAGGGCTTCACGTCTGGCGATTCGTAGGCATGTGCTGCAAGATGTTGTGCATTGTCTCCTGTTTCACAGCTCGCTTATCAAGACGTGTCAAAACAAGCGCGAGCGCGCTCTCATGCATGCATGAACATGTGATGGGGCTGGTGCTGGCGCTGGTGCTGGCGCGGGTGCTGGCGCGGGTGCTGGCACGGGCGCGTGCGGGTGCGCAGGTGTGCGAGTGCGCGCGTGTGCTGCTTTCATTGGTGGAAAAAGGTTCCGGCTGACAACCGATCTTCGTGTGTGTGTGTGTGTGTGGGCGCGCGCGCCCGTCCGTTCTGTCTGAGATGTCAAGAACAAATCTCAGCTTCAGCTGTGCCTGAAAGCCGAAGTCCAAAATCCGATCGGCTTCGTCTATGACCTGCACATGAGACTTCGGGCATGAGACGCGCCAGCTTGACAGCGCCAACGGGTGGCGGGACGACCAGAGCCAACAAGGCAGACGCGTCGAAGCCGGGAGACTCATCCAAGTGCTGCAAAAGCCTGTGACTTCCCACATTTCTGTAAAAACTGTGTTCAAGGCTTTCAAGGATTGTTCAAGGCACAGTGCCCGGCAATGCACTGCCCAGCCATGCCCTGCCTTCCTGGCGTAGCCACCAAGACACTCATGCTGGCGACGGCATGTTGCTCCTCGCAATTCAGGGCACGGTCAACGCCTAGCCTCTCGTTCCTTTAGGTTGCCACATGTTGCCACGCACCTCGGCAAGAGAGCGCCCACCCACAATGCAACCTGCCAGGGTGAATGATTTGAGAAAAGAGGCAAGCAAAAGGCGCTTGATTCTTGTTTGAACAGCATTTGAACAGCCTGCTGATATCTCATGCTCCTGGCCCACATTAGTAAGGACCTCGCACATGCGGGAGATGCGTTGAAGCTCCAGATATCTTGCATTCTGCTGAGGCCACATCCTGAAATATTTGGTACGCGAGCTCCCGCGTTGGAGAAACCTAGCACTGACAGTTTGTGGTGCAAACGCAGCAGACGCATCAGCTCCCCAAGCCCACGACAATCACGGCACCAAGACCATCCATCTTGGACCAGTTTTGCCTGAAGCTTCTGCTGACAACTGCGATTGAAGCCTGATCTTTGGCATGTTCTCAGGCTTGAAGCAAAAAAAACCTGCGCCTGTAAAGACACTCAATGACAGGCACGAGGAATGCCAGCGTTTTGCCGGAGCCAGTCCTTGCCTCGCCCAAAATGTCACGGCCTTGGTGGCAGATGCTTGATTGACTGAGCGTGGGCTCAGCGGATTAGCACCGGTGCGCAAACCACTTGCTTGCCAGCTTTCCACAACATCATGCTTGCGTGAGTCAATCAGCACGTGAACGTCGCAAGTAGTGCTAATTTGGAGTAAAGTGTCAGTGTAAAGCCTTCCGTTGGCCCGACATTGTGCGACCATTCACTTTGTGGCGGATTTGTACTGGACGCACCAACAGCCCGCCGAACGCGCCTCCCTTAAAGTGGACCCAAGCAGCCCAGCTCCAGAAGTTCATGAGCCGCTATTACTGGCACCACACCCAGCGAACGCGAACCTGCGTCCTGCATTCCCAAAACAAAATTTTCAGCAGGCGAGCGCGGAAGAGAACTCTTGCTGGTCTCCTCGATGTTTGCCATTACGACTTGCTTTTTGCCGAATGTTTGTGCACCTGTTATGCTCGTAGTACTTAGGCTTGGAAGAAACGGCAATTGAATTGCTCGCACCTGAGGACCTCAAGACTTGACAGGTACTAGACAGGGGGCCTCTCCGAGGCAGATGCCTGAAAGAGGACGGCAGCTCTCCAGAGCACTCCAAGCGCGCACACACACACACACACACACACACGGGGTAATTACACACACCACAGCCTCTCGACAGAGTGGGGACTGAGGAGGGCGCAAGTCGGCGAACGAATGCCAAAAGTTTCGATTGATCGTCCGCTCCCAACCGCCGAAGCCCCAAGACATGTAACCCTCCGACTTCAAGCGGACACCGTAAGGTGTTTTGGCTTGGTCGTCTGCAACGAGAGGCAAAATGAAAGAAAGAAGGCAAGTCAGAAAGAAAAAGCCGTAAAACCCTAAACCCTAAAACCCTAAGACCCAAAACTTTACACGAACCCGAACTTGAACGGCCTAAACCCCTAGCCCTAAGCCCTAGACCCCAAATTCTTATCCTTAAGCCCTAAAACCCAGGAATTAAAAACAAAACAAACAAAAACAATAGCCAGAGGACAACAATCAACAACGCAGGGTGACGGGCAGGTGCACATAATTCCCTGGCAACTTGGGGAACAAAAATTGGTGACTCTCTCTCTGTGCCTGTGCTCTCTCTCTCTCTCGTGTCAGAAGCATCTGGGAGCCGAGCCAGAAAGCGCGAGCGGAATCGCACCACTTTGAATCTCTGTCATCTTGACAAACTTTGAAGCCTCCGTCAAACTCTGTCAAACTGGCCCCCTTGTCCTGACTGCTGCTGGAATCGAAGATTCGGGGGGGAGTTTTGAGAGAAACGACACCTCCAAGCCGCGCAGCGTGCGTTCCGAGATTGGCAGCTCGCGGAAGAGACGGCCAGTGAGGGCCGGTCCCTGACAAGACACGACATATGAAATAACACGATGTTGCAATATGTTGCAATATGTTATGATATGTTGCACGCCGTTGGGGGGGCCTGCCCTGGGGTCGCCTTTCCCTTGCTCGCCGCACCGATGCGGGAGCCGCACTCCGCACGGATGCGTGCTTCAAGCGACCTGATTTCTGCCTCCTTCGCAGGCAGAAAAGTCATAGCGGCATAGCGGCAGAGCACCACGCGACAAAAGAGCACATGGGAACGTGCATGTCAATATCTCTCGGTCTGCCGTTGTAGTCGTATTCGGCTATCAGCCCCTGACCCCGCGCTGTCACATGCCACTCTTTAAAATCGAGGGAAATCCATGCTCCTCAGAAGTCCGGCGGTTCGAGCGTTCGCCAGACTTCCCTGCACGCTGCGCCTCACCCATGGACCAAGAACATTAAAGACCATTTGCTGTGCAGACTCGGGTGGCCTTGTGGCTATTCTTGGCGTTGCCATTGCTTGCTCTGCGTGCCATGCACGTACGTGTCCAGACAATTCGGAACAGCACACACAGCCATGGGCAGCCATGAGCTTAGACTGGTTTCGGCTGGCTGGAGTGTAAGGGTTCTCAAGTGTTCTGAAGGATGCCTGCGGCTTCTTGACTCTGACCTGGCTGCTTAGCGTGCCTGCCACTTTCTGGTGTCCAAAGCTTTCGAGTGCTCAGGATAGGACAAAGCAGTCGACCCATTGCTTTCTTGTGGCAACTTGCAGACGGAAACCAGTGGAGTTGAGAGCGGTCGTCTTGCTACAATTTTCTTCCAAGAGATTAAAGCTCAAGAGTCAAAAGAGTTAATGTGGTCTTAGCCTGCCTTTGGGCTGATCGCCTGTTTAGGCATCACGCGTGAACGGCTGTCGGCATCTGCGCTGGAAGATGGTTCACCGAATCAACTTTTTTTGCTTTATGATGGAAACTGCATAGCATTGCACTGCACTGCATTGCAACTCCATTGCATTGCAGCGCAGCGCATTGCTCTTTCAGCGCAGCCGCGCAGGACAGCATCAAAATGCTGCGTCTGAGAACGCGTAAATCAATTCTGGCATTTAGGAAAATAGCGGTGCCGGACCGCACTAGCCTATGAGATGGCACTCCTGCCAAGACTGCAGAGTCCAAAACTCACGGCCGTTTCGCTCAGTGCTCCATTTCTGGTGAAGCGCGTCTATTAGCATCAGCGCCTCGTACACTTCAATGGTTGAACGCCGTGGAGCCGTTTTCTGCCTTCTAGCTGACTCTACGTGTACGGCCTGGCGCAGATTGACTATGATGGTGGCCCCGGACTCGAGGGCCTTCCTCGTACAGGAGCATTGCTCGCTGGATTTGTGAATCGCAGGAATGCTTTAACCGTCTTAACCTCTCCTTCGCAGGAAGTACCCGGCAGTGGCGCCGGCCGAACTGGCATTGAGAAAAGTTCTCAGGCGTGCCCAGTCGTACAATCAGCACGAAAAAGTACGTCACCGTCACTGCAACAGGCCAGGATTGCTCGCGCGAAGATGGTGTGCAAATGACTATTCGAACAGTTTCGTCCTGCAGGATGACAAGGGCTTCGGCGCATCAAATGCACATCGCATCAGCGAGGTCAGCTAGGTTGTCAAATCCAAAACAAGAGTTGTAGAAGCGGAACACTTCAGACTGCCGGTCCGCAATAGCTTCCGTCACATTGGGCTTCTTTTGTGTGACCTGGAGAGAATGCGGCTACACCTGCCTCAATCATGCTGTCAGCGGTCTCCTTTCGAAATCCCGAGGGGGCCGCAGCGTTGTTCAGAACTGCGACGGGAATTTCAACTCCTTTCCGCTTCGGCCGCTGCGCCTTGCACTGTTCCATATTGAGCTCCAACTTTTTATCTGCAAATGAGAGCCTAAGTTGAAAGTGGAAGTCGGATCACTGCAACCGGCACTCTAGTCTCCAATCCAACGGTCCAAGTACATAGATTCCAGTTCCCATACGAGCGCAAGACATCACAATGAAAAGGCCATGTTCTACCTCCCCTCCACCGCGCCCCCCCACCCGACACACCTGTGCAATTCGACGTCTAGTTGACATGAGCGTGAATCGTCGACTGTGTGCAGGCATGCAGTCCGCTAGCACCATCAGGATGTAGGAACATCATGGGCGCGTGACGGCTCAAACATGCTTACATGACAGATTGCCGGCCAACCATGAGGCCATGCCAGTAGCTGCATCAACGGGCCTACTCGAAAATGATGATTGCTGTGGCAGGACAGGCCCAACCTGAATGAACGACGCCGTTCCACTGGTGGCATACAGCCTCAGCGAAAGGAGAGGCGACCAAGTGCTTGCATGCGTCCTCACTTCCGAGCATCCAGCTTGTAGCCCATTTCGTCTAGCAAGGGAAGGTACTCCAGGATTGCCATCTTATCCTCCTGAATTCGCTCTTCGTGGTTGCCGGCTATAAGAACTGAACTGGCTGCAGCATGTCCTGTGGACCCAACGAGAGGAGGAGCCTGGCACGCTCTAGATCACGTTCTGTGGGGAGAGACGTCACGCATCGTCACAAGTAACAGCGCCCTGCATACCCGCATGGATCGAACTTGATCTTGATGCCGCTTGCAATGATGGCTTTAAGAAATGCCTTGAGACCAGAAGAATGCTCTCTCCAGCCACTGCACTGACCAGGAACACAACGAAACACTGCAAGATGCCTCATGCGCATCTTGCCCGAAGCAGGCCACCTGCTGTCCATGTTTCGGCTCAAAGTGCACAGAAGACAGATCGTGGCAACTTGAAATGCAACGAGACTGACATTCTAATGAGACGCACTGTGCTAAGCACCTCTCCGGTGCTCTGCATCTCAACTCCGACGCGCGGGTCAGAGCCGCTGAGCCGCAAGAAGGAGAACATGGGTGCCTAGCGAGACTCGTTGAAAAGGAATTACCTGGTTGGCAACTCTCCAAGGGAACCTCCTTGCCTTGCATGCCACGAAGTCAAAGTCATTCACGTGTACCTTCATGGGTTTCACTTCCTGGCAATCACAAGAGGGGCAGTAACAGCGTCTGTCGGATGATTTTTCTCATCTTCCTCTGTTCATGTAGTTACTCAGCCGATGCCGTCCTGACCCAGCATGACACGTGTGGCCAGCTCGATGAAGTTGATGTTGTAGGTTTTTGACACAAACGGTACCTGTTGGAATTTGTCAGTTCTGTCGTACTGGTGCTTCACAACTCTTGCACTCCTTAAAATCCATGCAAGTCTGCCCGCGGCACCGTTCGTGATGCTCGCACATTGCATTCGATCACTTTCACCGTCCGCATGGATCGACTGCCAGCTTCCTGCAAAGGCAAGTTGGACATTGTGTAGAACATTCTCATGCACGATACGAGTCGGAGTGTGGGTGCGTCCCGGCCAATCATGCTCGGACTCATGGGACTATTTGAGAACCATACGCAAGCAGTGAACCTGCGACATGAACTGCACATTGAAAGGCCCAGAGATGTTGAGGGCCTTGCACCTGAGCTGGCCCAACTCGACAGGTTGCAGGAAAGATTTCAGCCTTAAGGCCCTAGGTCCATGTGTCAAACATGCAAAATGCGCCGGAATCCATGAAAGGTAAGATGGCCGGTCCAAGCCAGGCAACTCCAAAAAGATTAAGTAAAACGGCTTCCCTATTTCCCTCCATGTGGTGAAAGGTTATTGCTTCATTCAATAACACAAAACTAGCAAGCAAAGTCCGGATGTGGAAAAGAAAGGACCGACGGTTGCTTTTGGCAGGGCGCTGGCTTTTTTTGCGGGGCCATTTTGCAGGAGAGCAAAAGCTCAGGGATCTGAAACAAGTAAACGACCCGGAAAAATCGCAGCCTCCCGTAAGATGTTCCCGTACTTCCCCGGCCGCAACTTGTAAGGCAAGTCTTCATGCCAGGCCACAGCTGCGCTGCAATTTGCATCACGCGCCGATTGGTTTCCAGATGAAGGCGTTGGGAAGGGAGCAGCAGGGTGGCGTCCCCGCTGTGCGTGCCAGCATCCTGCACATCCGGAGATCTTGGCAAGGTGATTCAGCATCGAGCATGACAAGGCTGTGCCGTCCTCTACGTGTTCTGAGATGGCATAGTTGATAATTTCCCCCATGCAGCCAACTCCATCAAACTCGATCTCCCTGGCACTCCGCATAAAAACTTGCGGAGATGTCGTGACTCAGCTCAAGGCCTGGCTCCCTCGATGTACTTGGAGATGACCACTGGGAACTCCTGCTCAACCTCAATAGATACCAGCTCGGAACAGGAACGGATGCCGAGATATTCTGAGGCGCAAGACGACTGCAGATGTGCCCAAGAAGGTCTTCAGCTGCTCCTCTTCGGTTTCTGTAAGGCCGCTCAGCATTCGGCGTGAGCCGTGTACGATTGCATTCGAGCACCAGCGCCACCGAACCTCGTTGTCAATGACTCGCATCGCCGCGCCAGAGAGAACGTAGGATGGACGCACGAGCACCGGAAAGCCAACGGTGTTGGCAAAGAGCAGGGCATCCTCCAGTCGAGAATCAGTCAACCCAAAAAATGCACACACACATGTTGAGAGTTTAGCTTTCCGAACGGGTCCTCGAACTTCACGAACTCTGACCACTGAGGCTGGTCGATGTCGAGCTCATCGCACATGCTGGAGAACTTGGAGCGGTCCTTTACTTACACAGAGCTGCTCTCATGTGCACTGTCCGTATTGTCCGTAGTGTACGAACCCAAACTACCAGGATGTCACATGATGTCATATTTTTTGGAAATTCTCCTCCGCACGGTCGATGTTCTTTGCCGCAGTTCCAAGTATTCTGATCCCCATCTTGTCCAGTTTTGGTGCCAAGTTGTTGGGCCTGCCACGCGACTCTGCAGAGCATGTCAGCCATAAGATCAGCCAGAGCAAAGCTGACACCAAATGAAGGCGGTTTCGCGTCTGGCCGCCAACCGAGACGATGGTGCCTCGAAGGCGCATTGGTCCACAGGCAGATGCACAGAAAACTGAAGAGAAAGGAAATGCCGCGAACACAAATGTCAAGTCCCTGAAGCAGTCTGGGAGCCGCGCCGTTCGGCTGCTCGAAGTTGCAGATTTCACTCACGGTTTCAAGAGTCAGCTCCTCGGTGCTCAGCTAGCGAAAACGAGAACATGTCGAGCGCAGCATCCATCTTCGACTCACAGACTGATTCCTCGAAATACAGCCGATCGCTTTCGTCGTAATCCGTGGAGACTGTTTCCGGGTTGCAGTTAATCACCTTAGAGATAGCACCAGGCCGTCAGCGAGAACAGCACATGTGCAGATGCCCGAAGGCTACAACTACACCGTGCAGGCGAAGTTGCCATTGCTCGGTGACCTGTCTCTCGCAACGTCCTTCCACGCTTTTGCAGTTGCTGATATCTTTACCCCTGAGACGATGCCGTGTTAGCTCTCGTGATTTAAGTGCAGCCCCAGGCCGTCCTGACAGCGGAGACAGAGCTCCAGTCGAACTCCACAGACGCTCCGATGCGGTAGCAACCCGACCCGAGCACCTCGTGCATGAGTGCATCGTGATGCTGCTGCTTCTTGTCCCCAGAAAAGGCAGTGCGACATGAGTCGAGGAACGATGAAGGCTGCTTTGTCCTGCTTGTCCGCGCCCAATTCAAGCGGAGGAGGTTCCTGCACTGTAAGCATTGGCATAAGCAGCGAAACATACTAGTGAGTTACTAGTGTAAGTTCAAATGGATCTGGCCTCTTTGCTTGGAGCACTCTTCACACGGGGGCTCCACCCCCTGGGAGAGGAATGCACCTTTGCAATCTTCCTCGTCGGCAGGCCAAAGCCTGACTCCTGCCAAGGTTGGGCGCATAGAAGGCGAGCGTAATTTAGTAATTGTTGATGACCCTGTAGCAGAATGGCAGAGGTTCCCAGCTGCAGCTCTCCTCGTCGAGTTTGCCCTTGCCAAAAGCACTGTCGTACAGGGAATCCTGCAGATTTCTCAAGTCAATGCACCCTTCGTGAGCCGGCTCCACTGGCTTCACCTTGTGGGGTGCCAGTTTCTCGCTCTTGAGTGGAGGCACATCATGCTGGGTGCCGACGTAGGACAGGTACAAATAGTTCCTGGCAGAAAGCCAGACAGTACACAGAGCTGTAGAGACCCCAGAGACTCAACCGAAAAATGGCTGGGAAGGCGTTTTGGCAGGGAACTCTGCAGCCAGGGTATCAACCTGCTTGACGCAGGGCCTCACCAGTCAAGACAAGCCAAGACACCAATATCAAACCATAAACTTCTTAGGGCTCAACCGGACGTTCCAACCAGCACGCAGCTTCATGACTGCTTCGGCAGAGTCTCCCACAGCTTTTGCAATTTGCCTTTCAGAAATGTTGGATGTCAAGTGCATTCATAGACAGTATCATGGCATATGATTGTTGTTTGTTGGGTTGTCCTGTCGCAGAAGCCGAGCTGTTTGACTCGGCGCAGGAAATCCGGCCCAGCCTGCAGACGTCTAGCAACACAGTCCCCGCAAGCGTGCGTGGATTGAACAGAACAGGCGCACCCCCGTTTCACCCAAGTTCCACCTGCTTCAAAGCATCAAGGCTGCCCATTCCCTCCATTCGCTTGCGGCCTTGATGCACCTGTAGAAGTATCGCAACGACATCGCATGGGCAGGTCTCAGCGCGAACGTCCCAGAAGGTAAAACGCATTCGTGTCCAGGGCACAGAGTACAGCTTTGCCAAATACCATCTGTCAATCTTGGTGAGCTGATAGACCTGCAGCAAGTACAAGTTTAGGACGCAGAGCTCCCTCCGCATGGCATGGCGCCACATTGCACAAATTGCAGAATTGCGCAGAGTGCCTGCTCAACGGAGTACTTGTTCTCGAAGGCATGCGCAATTGCCCACATTCGCAGCCTTGGAGAGCACGGCATGGGATCGAATATGGCATGCCATGGTGGAAGGCGGATCGAATATGGCATTTCAAGCACAATATGGTGTTTTTTATGGTTCTTCATATAAGGATATGCAAGTCTCAACTCAGTCTGCTCCTGTCCGCTCTACTGAGCCTGCGGCGGTCCCGGATATCTCAGCTCTTCCTCAATGTTGCCATTTTGGGAAACGGCTGCCGCAGACCGCGCGCGCAGGTACCTGCCAACCACAACATCTGCTCTCTTCGGTGCCCGCCTGGGCTCCTGAGAGCCAAGCCAGGACCCGTCGAAGCCAACAGAGCCTTCGTTGACCATACGCAGCGCCTGCCACAGCTCAGCAAAGGCAAACCTCACGAAGTATACGCACTACACTACACGTGGTGCACTTCCCAACCGGGCCTTTTGAATTGCTTCTGGAAAAGACCTGGCAATGGACATGACCTCGCCGACACTTTTCATCTGTGTCCCCAGAGTGCGCTCCACGGTGGGGAACTTGTCGATATCCCATCGAGGTATCTGTCGGATGCAGCTTTTTGACTCTCGATTCATTTTCCATTCAAACTCGATTTCTCCCTGAGATGGTGCTGCCTTCACATGCTTTCACTGCATTTCACTGCAGCCCGTGGCCTTGACCACGCAATAGTCCAGGGAAGGCTCAAAGCATGCAGTTGTGGAGCGCGTTACCAAATTCCTCAAGCTCACAAGATCGTGACCTGAGCCGGCAAACACGTGAAAAGGCACGCAACAAACATGGCTCTTGCCAGACGCGCAAGAGTATTTGTGGAATCTGCATGCGAGGCACCGAGGGCCAGCTTGGCAGCGACGTAGGCAAGTGGGTATCCAGTTGCCTGGCCATCGCTGCAGACAAGCATGTGCAAGAAAGCGAGCTCATGTCTGCATACTTCAAAACATGGTGGGAGATAGCTGACACACATCGCCTTGGATGCAAGCGCGCTGCTTCGAGAAAGCCGGGCGTTGACCTCCACGATACGGTAACCTGGCGTGCTGCTCAGGAAACGCCGAACATGAACATGCTGTCACAATAAGCTGCCATCCACTCTTGTTCCATGACAAGAACCGCCAGGAGCACGGTTTGAATTCGGATCCAGAGCGTACTGGATGTTGGCCTCGCCAACAATGCCAAAATGACGGATCACCTGGGCAACCAGAAAGGGAGGCGACTGACAGCTTCGCTGTCTTGCACATGGTTGTCTCATTGTTCGGTGCGAAGTGCTAAGGCCATCGCCTTAATCGCAACTGCTCGCAATCTGTGATACTCATCGTTTGACAGCGTCTGGGATGGCGCAACCACGATGGACTCGCCTGTGTGCACGCCCATTGGATCCAGGTTCTCCATGTTGCAGACAACCAAACAGTTGTCGCGGGAATCGCGCCTGTGAAGGATGAAGGCGCTTAGAAAGGTTCTACTCAAACTCGAACGTCACGAATGTCACTAGGCACTGAGTCATCGGCACAACTTCGTACTCCAGTTCCTTCCATCCCTTCAAGCACTCGTCGATGATCACCTCACAGGCTTCAAACGCGCGCACATGTCTGCTGCTTTTGACCGGCATGAGACTCCGATCAGCAGAAAGGCAGTTTCATGTGACATTTCCTAGTCCATCGACATGAAAGCATCTTGGAGCTGCCTGAGACGAGGTGGCAAAAGCTCGAGTCAGAAGCACCTCAAGCTCTTCCTGCACAAGTTGCAGCAGCGCATGTTGGATATGTTGGAAAGGTACGGGGCCAGGGTGTAAATTGCCAGGTTAATGCCTCATTTGATGCGAAGCCACTTCCAAGACCACCCAGCGCAAACGCAGCTCTAACAAGCACCTGGAAAATTGCAGATGAGTTTCAGCAATTCAGCAACAGTGGACTGTTCGGAGAGGACTGATTGTCGGTTGTAGCAAGTTAGGCTCCTGGCCGGAAACCCGATCTCCAGTGCGACCTCAAGCAGATGTCTGGTGACTCCGATGACCGCTGTGGCGTTGTGAGCTCCCCTCTCCAAAGTCTGTGCCTCACCCCAACCTCTCCCAGGACCCCAGCCCCCAGCCCTGAATGCACAACAGTCAAAAGACTCTCCGGCACAAGTAACGCATATTTTCAGATGGCCTCAAAAACACAGGTGAGAAGCATGAGGGCCAGCATGAGGGCCGCACTTTGCGTGCCTCCTCGAAGGTGTTCGCGCATGCAGACTGCGCGCACTTCTCGCCCAAGCTTTCCACGCCGACCTCACATGCTGGATGAGCAGAATGAGCAAAGGCATACTGTGCGGCATGCTCACGTCAGGCAATATGCCTTGAAGATTTCGCGATCTTCTGTTGCCACGATGGAGTCGATTTGCGTTCCCAAAACCTTGCGCTGCAGGGCCAGCCGAAAGCACCGATTCCTTGATAAAACATTTTGGCTACCACTACAAGAAGGTCCGTTTGAGGGTGCCAGCTTCAAAGTCCAGCCCCAAGTCCCGGAAACAAAAAAACGAAAGAAGCCTGAATAATCTGAACAAGCGCGGCTTTTCATGCGACCCCTGTCCCGCAAAACTTTTGTTTTGACCTAGCGCCGCAACAAATTCTTGGGATGGTATGAAAAGGGCAAATCGACAGGCGGTGTCGTATATGCTGCGAGCTGTTGCGAGGGTTAGGAATGCCGAAAGTGCTGGAGCCTTGACGCCGTACTTCTTGAGAGTGCCATCTCTGTGAAGTGCCACTGCGCAGTTCAGGGCGGTCTGCCCACCTCGCCGCTCTTTGCATGTCTAGGGTTCGCCTACCCTGTGCTGTCCGCGGCTCCAATGCTTCGCCTTCGGCTTCTCCCTTAAGGCCTTAAGGTCCCGGCCAAAAGCGGCGAACAAACCATCGGGCCTCACCTTGTCAATCACCTGTCCAGCACGTGGGAAGCAGAGTGCTCATAGACACCAACATGAAGCAACATGCCCCCGAGATTCCCGTGTCCCTGGCTACTGCGATAGAGTTCCATGAATTGCAATTGTTTTTTGTGTGACCTCCCGGCCTTTGTTACAAACTCAGGCGTGACCGGCACAAAGTAGATCTGGTCAGCCAGGCCCCGGGACGTTTGGACCGTCGCAATGTTGGGATTGATCCTGGACTGCGAAAACATCTTCAAAAATGCAGATCACTGATGTAGCAAGACATGCCAGGCGTGCAGAACCGATTGCACGTGCTGCTCACGCAGCGCCTCACCAAGCACACGAAGGCAAAACGCAAGGCAAAGTGCATCAGGCACGGAATGCCGGACGAAGCGCAGATTGCCAAGAAAGCAGGCACAAAGCCGCAGACACAAAACAAAGAGCAAACGTTCTGCCTTGATGGCTTGGCTTCCCGAGTAATCGAATTCACCAGCTTGCCCGATGGTCAAACCTCCAGATCCCAGGACCAGCACCTGGAGTCTCATTCCATACCAGTCCACACAGTTCCACGCAACAGGGCCAAAAGATGGCAGCTGATACCCCGCCTTTGAAATCGCTTGCGGGTGCTTGTAACTGATGGTTGTCAAGCTTCTCCCTGCTGAGTTCCTGCGGACGCTGGCCAATTCCGCAAACGCTTCGACTTAAAATTGCCAGAAGACCCTTGCTGGACCCTCATGCGCCTCAGAATCTTTGAAAACTCATCGAAAAGAAAAGCGGTGTCCACGGGGCCGCAGCAGGCCTGTCGAACTCACGCTAACCTGCACACGTGCTCAGCCCCTGTCTGCCAACCTCCGGGTGGAACTGGACCGAAAACCATGGCCTCTCCTGCAAGGAGTCCAGTGGGGTGCAGAAAAAACATGGTAGAACAAAAGCACACGTCCGTCCTTGTGAGCAATGCCTTCGTTGGAACCATCATTCGCATTGGTAAACAGGGCATGCCAACCCTCTGGAAGCGCGGAGTCGTCCACAGCGAAGCCATGGTTCTGAGATGTAATGTAGCAGCGGCCAGTGCGCAGGTCGACACACGGTTGGTTCCTTAGCAAGCCATGGGGCCATGACTAAGAAAAAGCATGCGAAGTCATCCGAATGTCAAGTGCCAATATAAGCTCCTGGCACACCCCGGTTGCCAAATTTCATCTTGTAGGTGTGGCAGCCAGCAGCAAGGGAAAGGAGCTGATGGCCCAAGCAGATGCCAAAGATAGGCAACTGGGGTCGCTCCTGCATAATTTTGCGGAGGCAGTTCACCGTTGCTTCGCACCTTAGCATCACGTCATATGAATTCGGATTTCATTGATCACTTTTGCTTGAGCATGGGGCTTCTCTGGATCACCTGGACCATTGCTGATGAAAAGGCCATCAAACTCCTTGATGTGATCAGGATGGGTCAACTGAGTCAACTTGGGTCAACTGCCCCCGCCAGCCGGAGTCTGTCACAGCACAGCAATATGCCAGCCTCCTTGGTGAAGTCGTAGTCCCATGGCACAACCTTGAGGCGGACTCGCAAATAGTGGACGAAGTAGCGCACGATGTTGAACCTCAGGTCAGATGGTGGTCCAGTTTGAGACCTGCTGGATGTACCATGTCCACCCGACAGCCATCAGCCAAAGGTTTAGACGGGGCTCTTCATGCCACAATCAACAGCGACCACCAGTGGAGGCTTGCCTGGACATGCCATTCTTATTGCCGCAAGAACAACCCCCCCCCCTCCCCAGTCAACCGATGTGAGGGACTCGATTGTGGCGTCTTTTGGCAAGTCTGGGGGGAAGCACCCTCTTCAGTTTCATCACGGATCGGATGATAAACTTTGGGGCTGGACCTGAGTTGCAAGCTGACTCACACAGAAGATACACGGAAATACATATCACATCCACTGAGGGCCAAGCACGGACACTTGGGCCACCAGATTCTTCAGATTGGGATCCTGCTATAGGAGCTCGGACTGTGACTTGGAAGTGCCATCGACCAGCCTGGGCAAGCGTGAAGCTATCAACTCCTCCCACTGCGGTGCTGCATCATTCCCAACGACAACGGCGCCAAGTGCTGAACCTCAAAAGAATCGCCAAGCATTTTCCAGCGTAGTCTGCTTCCTGGACATGCACAGCAAGGATCGAACCTTCTTGGCGGAGACGTTTGGTGATGGCACGCGTGTCAACGCCAGAAATACCAGGAACCTTGTGCCTGAGGAACGATGCGAACACTCCTGCGCTACCCCTGTGAACGGCTTTCTCAAGTGTCGGAAGATGCCCAACCATCTGAGATCCTGGCTCTTCCAGCCACCGCGACAGGCTCTTCACAGCGGAATAATGGGATGCCGCAAAAGAATACTCTGACACAACGACTGCCACAGGGTAGATCCGCGACCCCTCAAAGTACCTGTGCCAAATGTCACTAGGGCATGGGCAAGAAAAGGCAAGCCAAGAAGACTGGAACGACGCTTGGCGTGTCGGACCTGGGTATTCCTTGTTCATCCGTCTCGTCAGGAGGCACGCCGTAGTTGCCCACGATTGGATATGTCAGCACAAGAATTTGGCCTTCCAGGCATGAGATTTTGGCGGGTGTCGGGACGGCGAATCCCTTCAAAGTGCCAAAGCCTTCGAAAGATGGGTCCGTCAGCGATTCGGGATAGCCCATCATGGCCGTGCAGAACACCACTTCGCCGGCGATTGACCTTAGCAGCGTCGCAGGCCCATCACTGACAATTGATGTCACGTATCACATGCTCTACAGTTAGCTCCCGAGTCGAAGATGCTGGCCTCTTTGCCCCGAAGTTGAAGCCCCGCCAGCGCTCACCTACAAGAAGAGTGCTGGTCAAGCCTAACAAGTCGAGCTCCTAATGGATCACTGAGCCCTTTGCCTGACTTCAAACGCAGCTCAGCGGGCGTTTTCATGGCCTGCTCCCAGTCAGCGAACCTTGGGCTAATGCCAATGCTGAAGTACTCATATGGGCAGCATAGCGCAGCAGTACGGGCTCGCAGCTCATCCACATCTCCTGCCAAGACCTTTCCATCATTGTCAGGGCCTCGGCAAGACTTCAACCTACTTCAGGCCATGCATAAAGGATCAGAAAAGGCAGGCCCCCCCCCCCCCCTCCCGTCATATCCGCCCCCTGCGTTCTGGTGGCAGGGTTTTGGGTCTCGGCTGAGGTTTTTAAGGTTTAGTAGCTTGGGCTTTAGGGTTTTGGGGATTGGGGGTTTAGGGCTTTCAGGGCTGCTCTACGGCTTTTAAGGCTTTGGGTCTTGGACTGTAGGGCTTCGACTCTTGCACTCGCCCTCTCTCGCTGCCGCAAGGTTTAGGATTTAGACGGTAGGGTTAGTGTTGCAGCACCTCCTTGCACATGAAATCGACTCGAACATTGCAAGAAGCTTTTCTTCTTGAAATAAGCGCTTGACGTGGGGGCGGGGCAAAAGGAGGCTCTGCTCGTGATGGCCTCATTAGCCTTGGATGGCCCGAAACACTTTCTGGATCTGCTGCACTGGTCCTTCGCCAACACATTTCTGCAACTGGGAAGCTACAGCAAGGCTGCCTGGGACAAGGATGCTTTGAGCCAAATGCTGCAGTGAGTTCAGGGGGTCGCATGGTGCTCGAACTCGGCATGCTGTCAGTGCCGCGCAGCACTTTCAGGACAGCTTGCGAACAAACGCATGCCCCAAAATTCGTCTGTTTCGCTTCTGGCCTTGCTTACAGTCCTCTGCCAACTGCTACACTGCAACCAGAGGACCAGCAATCGGCCTACATTCTGGTCTGGTGTGGGTGTTCGAAACGTACCTTTGTTGGTACACACATGTACACACATGTACTCACCCTTTTCCGTTTCTCGGTGCACCATGCGCACCTGCACCTCCAACCATATCTTCACCTGCCATCGTGTGAGCGAATAACTAAGAAGCCTTCCAATGTCTTGAATTTATTTCCAGTCTTACCAGGATGCCTACACAAGCCTCCCCATTTAATCTTAAATGGCCTGGGCAAAATGTTGTTGTTTCAAAGCGAGCCGCTAATCTTCGAGCGTCACTTTACCTCGAAGCCTTCTGACCGCAAGCATTGCTTGTGTGCTTCGATGAACGCTTTGCACTTCTCCTCGCCGTTCATGGCGATGCACTCATCCCGGGCGGCCTCGCGTAACAAACAATGGGGGCGTGAGCTGCATGACGTTGCATGGACGTGGGCTCCGGGAAGGAGCATTTTCGTAAAGGTGCATCGCACCATGCGCCGGAATGTAGAGTGCACTGGGGCTGCGTTGTCATGTACAGTCTATTGAAACTTCCTCGTGTGCGGGCATTTAGGCGGCTTCATGGTGCGGTCCCCAACTCCGCATAGGATTCAGCGTTGCCATCGGGATTAGCGAATTACAGATCCTTTAGTCTGTCGTCCCCTTGGCCATATTCATACAACTACGCACAATCTGGTGCCCTTGTGAAGCTCACTGCTGGGATGGGTGTCGCCCCCTGCGTCGGGCTGATAAGCTTCATACGCTAAACCCTGAGACCAGCTATGCCCCGCTGCCCCGTCCTTCGTCTCTGGGCAGGCGCAGCACATTTTCATCGTCGGCTTCTTGGCCGGTGGAGCCTGGCTGATGGCAGAAGGGAGGCCTTGGGACTTTGAAAGACACTGAGGCCCTGAACTTTGCCGAGCCTCTTGCGATTTGGAACCGGAAGACCCCATGCTTCTCCTAAACGGGCCCTGCGAGGGGGAAAATTGACCTAATCCACTACCTTTGGATCAAAAATGGCCAAAGTTTGCAGCCATGCAATGGCAGTTGTGACCGAAAGGTCATCCCTTGGCAAAATGAACCCAGACCCCGAGGCACACGTTTTCTATCATGCCGCAAACCTGGCTTTGCCACAGCACGGCAGTATATAGCCTTTCAGACCCAACTACTGTTCCAGCATAAGAAATAAAATGTGAGGCTCGGACCTCTCAGCCGATCAGCTATGCGACAGGTCAAAGCAGTTCGGCGATCAATAACAGCAGCTGCATGCATTCTGGGCAGCGCTCATACTCCCTGTCCTTTAAGCGAATGAGCCTGTGCAGAAACTACGTGGCCTCCTGCAAACGCCATCTGGCGTGAGCACTCGTGCGCGCTGGTGGGGCGAAGGATTCAGGGATCCACTTGCGGAGCCGCTCGGAGAACCGCTCACGGAGCCTCTCTCAGTTGCCACCCAGCCGCTGGCCTGGGGCCCCGTGATATGGCATGTGGTTTGGCGGCATACATGCAGATATCTGAGGGCTCCAAGGCCGCGGCCTCCGCCCCCGAAGTTGGTGGGTTGGGGCCGTGCTGGTGCTGCCGCCCGGTTCGCTGCAACTCCTCGAATGAAGATGAGAAAATCAAAGTCGTCCCAGATGAAACTCTTCCTGTCGGTAAATGCGACGGCCTTGAGCAGTATATCTTGCCATGAAGTTGGACAAGAAGGCCGGAGTTTTCACCAGGACATATCCGTACTCTTGTGGCACGACCTGCCAGCAAGCACAGTCCGAATGTAAATTTTGCTTGCGGAGGTCTGCAAGCATAAGGAATACTGAAGACGAAGGCAGGCGAGACAAAGGGACAGTCTAACAACAAGAACACCCCTCTCACAGTCAAACTCAGAAGCCCACTGAGGCTTGTACTTTCAGGAAAGCCACCACGTCAGAACAGAAACGAGGTAGTTGTAAATGAGCCACATACTGTAAGACATAAAGCCACCAAGCATGGCGTGACGCAAGCATGTCAAACAGATTGTGAATTCCAGGGAAACGGAACGCATGACAAGCAGAGGCGGGGCAGAAGAAGTCGCAACAAACAAGCGCTGAATCATTCGCAAACATATGCCAGCCAGTCCGCAACACAATCCCTCTATCATGCACAGGAACAGAACATATGCATCGCACTTGGTTGTGCAAAGCTTCAGTGCCACAATCACCAACGAAAGGATCTCTGCTGAGACAGCCACCAAACGGACTACTGTAAGAGGCTGCAGAAGCCCCCACCCCAACAACCCCGTGAACCAAAGAGCCGTTCGTTGCAGGGGACATTGCAAGTCTCGCTTCCCAGCCTCTGCTAGGAAATAGTAGATGTGGCCGGAAGCCAACCCCAGCAAGTCCATCCAAATGTTTCCGCCTGTCAAGGAGAGAAGGGTCTACACAGTCTACACGTCATCACCATACTATTATATACTATTGCTCTGCCCGACTCTGCCCGTCTTGGTTTACAGATGCAATTCGGAGCGGCCAATGACAGGAAGGTCCAAGCAATACAATAGGGGCCTTCATGTTTGTTGAACTGCATGGTGGCTCCACTCAAACCTATCGTGGCCAGCCTATCAGCAACTGAAAGAAGATCAGCGCGAATGGGAACTGGTAACCCTGACAGACACGCGAGGTCAACACTGCTTCCTTTTGGAGTTCCTCTAAAGTCAGTGTCCTGGATGGTGAAGCTGAAGAAGCTAAGTCTGGCGTAGGGTTCGCGGCCTTACTCATGCAGCCAACCTCATGTATCTGGCCAAAACTGACAGACGCTTGCAGTCTGGGAGGCGTGCGGCTCCAGTAATATAGAATTGCGAAGACCAGGGGAGGTCCCAAGGTAGGGAAACCGCTCGGCCACATCAATGCCAAAGATATGACATCGAGGAGCTGGCACGGTACGGATCTATGGTTGCGCAGACAGCATCTCGACAGCTAAAGATTATTGAATCCTCTGTAAACATAGCAAACATGTGGGATGGCCAAGATCTGCGCGAGAAGGAAGAAAAGGTAGTCCCCAGGCTGCGAGAAAACCTCTGAACAGGTACACGCCGTTTCATCAAGGCCACGTGCAAAACTCAATACATGCGATGGAAAAGACTTGAGGCCTCGTTCTGTTCCAACTTTGACGAGAAGGACGTGAAGAAGTACCTCAAACAGCAAGCCGGTGGTGCTATGACCAAAAAGCATGTCACGAGCTGCGGGCGCACATCTGCAACAAGAACTGGAAACTGAACGTGCCAAAGAAAAGTGCGGGTGTCAGCAATCGCCAAACCTGCATCTGGGAACTGTCGGCCGTTCTAGTTGCTATGTGCGCAAAGAGGTGGCCTGCAGCTTGTTAATGATCATGGGCCAGTTGAGGAACAAAAGCCCCGGGTTCAGGAACTCCAGCTGCACGAGGACGGTGACGCCAAAGATGACGGTAAGCTGGGCCAGACACAAATCGCGAGAATGACGCAAATGCGAACTGAGGCCCCTGCCAACACACGCGTTAAAATGGGTAAGTTCTTGTACCTGCAACAGGAACCAGCGCAAGCGGCATATCTTCCAATCACAGAATCAATAAAGCTTCAGACCAGGCACCATTGTTCCGGTGTGTTTTCCATCCTCGCACACACGAGCCTGAAAGCTCACCTCATGTGCAAACATCTTCCTACGCTGAACATCCAACATGTCCGCATACACAGCCGAACTGGCCTGTCGACACAGCTTGGCAAATACTATCCTACTATTCTACTGCTGCATACCAAAGAGCAGCGGCATCAAGCTCAACATGCAAACATCAACATACCATTTAAATGGCCGCCCCGCCCCCCCCCCCCCCCCCCCCCCCCCCGCCCCCGAATCATGCATGCAAGAACCAATTCCTCTGAGACCACGTATCGCGTGCCTGCGTGTCTCGCAAAGCTTGCAAACCAAAGCCTTAAAACGATTTGCCGTTGCAAGGCAACGGGCTAAACCTTCTACTGCAGGAGTTTGCATAAAGCTATTTGCCAATTGTGCATTTCCTGCACTGGCACGGTCTACAAGAGCCAATGCTACATGCCACGACATGGCTAAGTGAAGCGTCCGCAAAGTTGCTGACATGCATTGCTCATTGAGGACGACATCAGCGGTGGCGCACACGCATGAAAATCTCAAAGCAGCCTGCAGCAAAGCATGCTGAAATATGCTGAATAGTTGGGTAAAATATATGAAACTAATTGTTTACACGTTGAAAAGCCCAAAAAAACTATGCGCAATCGCCGACCTGCCAATTCGGGAAGCAAGATCCCAGAACAGTGCTGGCGACTGCACCAGACATGCTAAAAACACGGCGTTTGACGATTGCTGCTGCATCTTCCAGTGCACGTTGCCATTGGAGACCAGCTGCTAGCGAAGCCACTGCTGCGCCATGTAGCACCACATCCACCTCAACACGGCTGGTCACTGCGCGATCCCAAACCTCAGAAGCCTCACGCCAAGTTCGTCCACAGGTGACACTGGAGATCAAGGAGCTGTAAGTCTTTGCCTCAGAACTCCCCGTGCTGAGAGGAGAAGTTTTTCACACATGCGTGTGAAAGAATAGTTTGTTACACATGTATAAAAAAGTTCTCAGGGCACTCATACGAGTAATTTCTAAAGAAATTACACGAGATCCCCACTGCCACGAGATGAGAGAATCACCTACATCCTGCCAAACCCGCCGAGGCCTCGGGCCGGAGGTGTATAGGTTGTGAGAACAGGCACCCCCCTCCAAATCCTCATTTCGGACCCTTTTTTTGCCTCAAATGTGTACCCCCCCTAGGAAACCGGGGTCCGCAGGCGCCAGGACCACAATTGCCCCCTTTTGCCACCCCCCCCTCCCCCCCCCTTCCTACCCCTGCCCCCTACCCCCCTCCTACCCGCCCCCCTCTACCCCCCCCCCCCCCCCCCCCACCCCCCCTCCCCCCCCCCGTGCTCCCCGCCCAAACCCACTGGTGGGCGGGTTTTCGAGGCTCAACTGTGTGAGCACGGTCGGGGAGGCATGATCTAAATGCATTAAACCTTAAACCTAAACCCTCAACAAACCCCCCCCCTCCCCCCCCCTTCCCCCCTGCCCCCCTTCCCCCCCCCCCCCCCCTACCCCCGCTGAGGGGCCTGGCTCAACCCTACGATCAATCCAAGCCGAACCGCCTCTTGAACCCTAAACCCAAAAATACCCTAAACCCCAAAGCGTGAACCTTGAGCCCTAAGCCCTCAATCCTAAACAAACCCTCAACCCTAAACCCCAAACCATAAACCATAAACCCGGAACCCTAAACCCTACAGTAAACCCAACCCTTATTGCTTGGGGTCTAGCGACTTGGGCGCTGCGGAATCACCATGCTCACGCGGATGCGCTGGGCCGGGTCGAGGCGGGTCGCGAAGCGTTAAAATTATCAGGTTTCCTCAACGACGGAGATCCATCGTTGGATCTTGAGTGAACTCTGATCTACAGATACTCTTGCCATGGGATACTCTTTCAAACAACGGACCAGACACGTCAGCTTGGCCTCTCTCCAGAACTGTCAGCCCAACAAGCCAAGGAAATGCAAAGCTGCTGTCCAGGTCAGCGCTCGCACCAGCTAGAGCGTTGAAAGTTACCAGCGTCGGTTGCAAGCGGGAATAGCAGGCTGCAGTCAGCACTTCCAGCGCTCCCTCCCATTCGCCAGCACAGCTGCTGCTAGAAATTGCGGAGGTCCAACCATAGATATCGGCATAGCGAAGTAAGCCCATGCAGCATTCCCAGGAAGACGCAACAGAACAGGAAGCAAGCACACAATTCGTAATGGTAGCCTGCCTGCCTGGGTCAGGACATTCAACATGGTTAGCATTCGACATCTGTTTGCCGAATCTTGGTGCCAAACTTTTCAAGATGCTAGTGCCTGTTAAGTTGCGGAATCCTTCCTGCCCAGCATGCCGAAGCCACTGCAAGGCCTCTTTGCGCCACACACTGGCCACACGTGTACAACGGGTAAAAACGGGAGCTTTTGTAAGTAATGCTCGTAGTACATCACTGGTGCCCCCGGCTCCGCCTGTTTCCACAGAGGTGCCGCAAAGGCACCTACCAGCGCCGCGATGAAACTAGTGTCCAGAAGTCGGAGTCCACAAGCGCGGATCTGCACACATGAGCATGGAGTGAAGAAGTCAAGCCAGAACTTCAGACCTAGAAATCCAAAGCGAAGTATCAGTCTAGGTACCAAGCAGTGCAACCGTGGCTACAAGATCCTCGTTCTTTCCTTTCTTCCTTCTTTCGCGGGGCGCCCTTCGCAGTGCACGCTCCCAGTTCGGGCCACTTCTGCTAGGCATGGGGACGGGCCGGGAGTCCCGGGAGGCCTTCCCACACCTTTGGACAGTACATGGTTTTTAAGGAGCATCCGCAACACACGCACACGCACGTCCTCCCAGTGTTCGATGGAGCGCAGTGCGCGCCCCCTATTTGGGGTTCTCAGCAACTCAGCAGGGGCGCGGGATCACATACACCCTCACGCAAGCGCTCCGCAAAGCATGTTGCTGATCAGGCCAGTAGGCACGGGGCCAAGGCAAGCACAACGCCACCAACATATACACTCCCGCGTACGCTGCTCTGGCCCCGCATCCCCCTTACTCAGCCCCTGTGCGACCAGAGTTCTCGGATCACTTCGCCCCAGCGCATCCCTCTCTGTCGCTCTTTCTTGCTTTGTGTGGAATTTAGCTGACATAGGGATTTTCAAGATGCCTATTTGGACAAACTAGTGGCAAGTCTTTGTGGTATTTAGGGCGGCTTACGCCGTGCAAAGGCTGTCCTGCTGCCAGACCACAAGCCCACGACGCCACAAGTTTAGCCGACCGCACGTAGCCATGGCCGAGTTGCATGTGATAGCCTTGGCAAGAAGCGGTCACTGCATGGCGTCAATGCTGACCAAATGCCCCTGTGTGATGTAGCAACTCCCCCAATGGAAATGTCGATGGCAAATCTGCGGGCCTGCCTTTAGCTCACATGCATCAAAAGCGGATGAACATCTTCGAAATCTCATGCATCAGTGAAGAGTGGTAAAGATTGTGATTCGACATGGAATTAACATGTTCACCCTCAAAAAGCATTTGCTCGCAGCTTCCTGTTTAACTTGCGAGAAATGTCAGGCGTCGTTCGTGAACACTCGAAAGAAACTCAATCCTGGATACTGGACCTTAGATTTAGCAAGTCCTACTAAGCTGAACTTGATTGCTTTCGCATCGACTTGGCGACCACGGACTGCCTTTCACTCCGAGAAAAGTAGCCGAGTGCTGTACAAGTCTGTCGAGGGGATAAACGGAAGCGGGGGTTAGAATCTCTCTGACTCCTTTTCTTGTGATTCGACAAAGCCCATGTGCGCTCAAACCGAATGGGCCGACCCCCCTGGGTGGCTGGGGGACTCTTCCAAAGGTATGATGCGTGCTTCAATGTCACTGAAATTAAGTTCAAAACACATGCAGTTCCTAATTGCAGGAAGCCCTGCATGTGAAGCGAGACGCTCTCGCAATCTAGTTTGAGACATGTGCAACAGAGGGTTCGTGGCTTCTGACCCCGTGACGCCACAAGACTCTTATCAGCCTGATGTTGAGGCATGGTTTCATCAAGGTTCCTGTACTTTAAGAGAAAGCTAATAGGGCAGAGCGAGTGACCCCCCCAACGAGATGGCCTCTGCATAACCTTATATAGCCTCATACAGCCGATAGACTCGGATTCCCTAGTGACGCATAGAGGGAGCTCTGCGGGAGAACCTTTCAGCTTAGAAATACGCCGCAGGCAAGGGCTCCCATAAGTTTAGTATAAATTAGTATAAGAGAAAAAGTTAATGGGGCGGAGTGAGTGACCCCCTCCCCCCCCCTCACTAGACGAAATTGCGGCCTCTGCAAAACCTTTTGCAGCCTTATTTGCCAGTCCCTCCTGCGCTAGCCAGTGAATGTTTGTTGTGGTATACTATGCCGGGCTGTTGTCAGGCCCTGCAATGCTCAATGCAAGCCCTGGATAGCCAAGGCATGCCCGGACACTTCCATCATCGAGCCAAAGCTACCGTCCAAAGCGAATTTCACTTGACTTCACAGTCCCGTATGAGGAATCCAAATCTGTTTGTGAATCCAAATCTTTGTTCTTTCTTTCTTTGTTTCTTTTGCTTCTTTGTTTCTTGGGGCTTGAGGGCCAAGCCCCCGCCCAGTCCGCGCACCCCCATATGGGGTAGTCAGCGGTGCGTCGGTACTCGAGGGAGGATTCTCTGATATCCTCTCGCTCTATCTCTCGAATCGCAATGGCTCAGCTCAACAATGGCTTTGGATGTATGGTGCCCTGAAATGGCCTGAAATTTATAGTTCCGGGGGCTATTTCGAGAAGTATGCCCCGTCAGTTCGGGGAGAATCCCAAATAGGCCCCACAGAGAGTGACCTCCCCCCTCAAGTTCGTTTTGAGGGGGGGCGGGGAGCAATGACTTATGCGACTCCATGACGGCTCAGCTCCCCGCATTGATTTGTAGGCCGTAGTGCTTGGTGTTGCCCAGGGTGTCCAACACGAGCTCCCAAGCTAACCCTTTTCCACAAGAGGCCACCACAGAGCTGCACAGGATCGCATCAAAAGCGGCTTGCAATTGACGACGCGTCTGACACAGCAAACTCACCGCCCTCACCTCGGTTGTTGCAATGTCGATGTTTCTTGGCCGCGAACATGTTGTTGCAATCTTGGGCCGTCTTAGGCAAGCACCCAGTGCCCGCCAACAGTGCAAGCCTTGACTCCCAGGCTGCATGCCGCACCGTCTGGTTGGAGACCGTGATGTCCCAGGACACCTTGATGGCCTAGAAGCCATAAAGCCTTTTGCCATCTGCCCTCACGAATGCTCTGCGCAGCTGATCGGCTAACCGGAATCAAGCCCGGACATCCCTGTTGCATCTGAGCCTCGTGCTGAACAAAAGTGATGACACAGCACGATTGTCAAGGATCTAATGATCTAATGTCTGCAGCTCTTCCACCGCAGTCGCACTTTTGCACGCAAGGATCTCGCTGAGTGTGGCTTCGCGACCCCCCAATTCAGGGCAGCAATGTCTACACGGCAGAGGACCTACGATCCAGCTCAGAATCTCATAGAGAGATGAGGCTCAGATCCTGGCATGACAGAGTCGACATGAGTTAAAACTTAACAACTAAACTTATGCAGCCGCTGTGTGTTCGTGCATTCTCGGCATCTTTAAGAGCTACAGGAACTGCCACACAAATACTCAAGCAAGCACAAGGGCACAAACACGGACGAGCAGCAGGCACCGAACGAGCACAGACAGCCTATGCCATAGATTCGCCAGGTTGAGCATGCATGTGATAGCCATTCGATGTGCTGCCGCAAGATGGTTATCCTGGTCAACCTATGACAGCCTCAAGAGACGAGTCCTCGAACGATCGTGTGTCACGATGCACCCGCAGTGCGTTTGCATGCGCACACACGTGCAGAAACGACCCCTGACTGCCCCAGAGCACCGCCCGAGCACTGCGCAAGCCACAAAGCATGTGGATGTGATGACTGCCCAGGTAGAGTGTGAGCCCCCAGCCAGCTTTGAAGCGAATACAATATCGACCAGGCTGCTCAACTCTGGCCCCATGCCGTTGAAAGCAAAAGCCCTTCTACAGCACACCATGCCGGAAAGCATGATCTGCCTTAGCCCTTCCACAGGACAGCACGACTTGAGGCAGAAATTCGGAATCAGCAGCTCTACCTGACTTCCCTGACGTTGGACATTGTTGACTCCCGTGCCCCATTCAGCTGCCTTTAATTCATCATCACGCTCCGGCTCAGGTTCAGCGACTGTCGGTTGCAGCGCATGTGACTTCTGGCCCTGGGACGGGCGTGACAAATCCAGCCATGCTTTTCAATCATCCGGCTCTCAGTCTCAGAGCACGTGTTTACAGATCCTACAGGACCTGAGGACGAGACTCTGGTCAGCAGCGTGAGGTGTGCCGCCTGGCAGCCAGTACATTTTCAATGATGACCGCCGATGTCCCGCGCGCTCGCAGCAACTCTGCACATGACAGCTGATGACAGCGTCGCCTTCGCAGCGCTGTCGAGAGCGTAAAAGGCTGAAGTTGGTTTCGCCTCTTGGGCGCCAAGAATAGCCTTGAAGAACTGAACACGTTGACGCGAGTCTTGGGGAAACTTCTTGAACTTGAGCTGAATCTTCTTGTCCGGCAACTGCGGCGCCTCCTTCGACATGAACTTCCAGATGAAAGAAAGCAACTGGGCCTCGTCATCCCTGAACTCTTGTAGAAGGGCTCGGCACCACACCGGCAACATCACCTTCTGCGGAATTCCATCCCGAAGCTGTACCTCCACGAAGGTACTGACGAATTGGTGTGCCATTTCGTTTAGCTGGGAGTCAATGCTTCCAGCTTCGACGATTGGAACCGCAGACAAGGAGCTCAAGGTACCTCGGTTCAGAGTCAGTACGACTCGGAGGTCCTGCTTCGGTGGAAGCCAGACTTCGGGAGGGCTTCCAATGTACAGACACGCTTGCATTTTGTCATAGGTCCATGGGCCCTTGGGAAGCGGCATCTTGGGCAAACACATCTTGGCATCTTGCTCCTTCTGGGCTTTTGACTGGCGATTGCTGAAGGGAGAGTTGGGGTCTGGCTGAGTGACGTCGGTGACGGCCTTTCCGCGGCAGAGGCAAAAGCCCAGGAGCTGCCGCGCTCGCACGCGAGCTTGCCTGGCAGCCTGCGGGTCTGTCTTGGGCACACGCAGCATGGCACTTTCGATCTCGCGCAGGCTCATCGGCCGCGATCCGATCAAGTAGCTGACCCTGTTTCGGAAATTGCTCAACTCGGATTTGGACTGCGGAGCCCCAAAGATGAGGAGGCCATGCAGGAGGATGCAGTGATAAGTGTTGATCCAAAATGCCAACACCTCAGCCTCGGTCCAATTTTGGAAGCTCACGGCCTGCAGGGGAGTGGCCCACGTGGAGTTCCGGTGTGGTGGCTAGATTGCGGCTAGATTGCGGCTAGATTGGCTAGATACAATATTCCGACCCGACAACACCACATGCAATGAATGAACAACTGAAGTGTGAACGCAAGCCAATCTGGCCTTGAAGAGGCATGTCGCATCCAGGAAGGCGGTGACGTCGGCCCCTGCCGGTGCTTCCCCCAAACTTAGCGCTTTCTCCAGCAGACACGCTGAGAAGTCGGGTGCCAACTGCTTTTCTGGCAAGCTTGCGAGGATGCGATCGTTAAGGACCAGTCGCCGTCGGTGGCCCCAGCGCCGGGCCCTTGTGGAGTCCATGAGCAACATCGCCTCTTTACTTGGCACGCGCTGTCCACCCGTAATCGCGCGCAAGCCGGTTCTGGCCCCGCCTGCGACTCTGCCAGCGGCTTTTTTTGCGATAGATAAGCCAAACACTTCCACTGGGTTTGATCGCCCGCTTTTCCAGGTTGCGGGCGTCTTCGGCGACGGCGGTTCTTGTGATGGTGGCTCTCGCGGAGAGCCAAGATCTGGGGTTGACTTTGTGTCCTTTTGGCTGGCACCTTCAGCTGGTGCATGGTCACCGCCAACCTGTGCCACCATGCGACTCAAGTTCGAGATCCACTGTTCCCGCTCGGCAGAGTCTGCACAGCAGAAGACGAAGACGCGCAGGAACGTGTGGACCTAGGACCGGGTAGTTGCGTGAGACTTCTGCACAGATGGGGTGCCGAGCGAATACTGGAAAAGGTGTGCCCAAAACCTGAACCTATCCTGCTACACTTTCAACACTGGCCTATGGAGCCACAGTGGCTCCTACATGCTCCTAACATCTTCCCCCGAGACATTGAGAGCCCGGCTTGCCAAAGCATAAATCGGCCAAGGCATGGCCCAGGCAGCGCTTCAATCTGCAAGATCTCACCGGCATGCACACTGATTCGTGGCTTTTCGCAATCATAGGGCGTAAAGCAGCGAAGGAAGCCATCTGAAGATAACCGAAGCAGCTCTTCGCAGATTCGGCCTTCAAAGTGCACAGACCCAACCAAGGCCTCGCAGGTACACAGTCTGCGGTCAGCGCGCCTACAGATGTCTACAGAATCGCAGATGTGCGAACGTTTAGCGTTTTAGCACTTCTGTGCACAAGGTACGCTCCTCCTGGATGACACTTGCTCGTCCTTGTCGCGCATGGGCAAAAGCCAGGCCGCAAACAACACTATCCGCTGCCACGAAAAAGCGCGGTGGCATGAGTTGCACTCGTCTGCGCTGTCCCAGCGTCCGACGTCTGACCTAAGGGACTTACACATGTTGAACTTCGTAGTGTTCATTGGATTTCACGCACTTCTCATGTCCCCATCAAATCCCCAATGCCTGACTTCATTCATGGTCAAGGCACTTTGTGAGCCAGTCTGGCAGGGCTGCTCAAATGGCCCGATTCGGCATGCGGGCTCCCCTCCACTGACTTATCCGTCTGCTCTGGGGTCATTTCCCCCGTGACAGCGGCTCGGACCACAACGCTCCTGCCAGAGAGTTGTCAGACTTTGTGCTGAAGCCACAACAAAGACCGAATGGACATGTGCCCGATGCTAAAACAACCTGGAACAATGGCAGGATCCTGAGTTTGGATTCTCCGTCGAGCTGGACTGACACGACATTGCGGAATTGCTCCAGCGTTTTCACAGCGCAGCACGTGTACCTGAACAACTTCACATCTGACCCCCCGCTTTTGTGGGAACGTTTAAAGCTTTAGGCCAACTCTAATTTCTACATCTCCATAGTTGTTGCAACAGGCCTTCTGGCTCCTGGACCGCGGCGGAAGGTTCGGAGCCGCCGCTTCGGGCGGCAAAGTGAAGCCAGCTCCTGGGAGTCCTTTGCTGTCCAGAAGGTGCCACCGGCATCAGTAAGCGAGAAGATATACCAGTCGCGAACCTGCTGGGCACGTGCATCAAGCTAAAAGCCTACAAGGTGATGATGCAAGTGAATGGCTGGAGACATCCACCGTAATATGCGCATACAAGGTTACGCGAGGCCAAAAACAAGCAGAACTTGCACCAAACATGGAACTGCGTCATGATACACCAACTTGTTTTCACATGTAGTCACAAGTGACACTGGAGACACCAAGAAAACAGGAAAGGTCACGCTGGCCTTGCGGCGTCGGAAACGATCGATTGCTTCAATGTAGAACGGAACTTGAACATGAAGATCTTCAGGCAATATGCCTTCGACCTCTCGAGGGCGCCAACTTTCGATTTGAAGCAGCGCCTGAGAGTGACTTTTGCTCAATTCGCGAATCTCCTCCTCATCCTGGTCGTAAATGGCCTCATCATCATCATCGAGTGAGTCTTGGGTCGTCTCTGAATCACTTTGATCGTCCGCGACCAGTACCTGAACATCAGATCCTGCTGCGGAGCCCTCCTCAGATGCTTCGGACGCTACTTCCAAAACAGTCTTGGGAGAGTCATCATCTATGGCAGCCGATGGCTTTCGCTCTACTTGCCAGTCTTCTCCCTGAGATCCCCTGGAAAAGAAGATCTGCAGAATCAAGCTGTCTCTCCAGTTGCCATGTTCTCCACCGCATCGGCCAAGATCATAAATGAAGGCACAGCCAGATTTGATCTCACCCAGAACACTTTCCAAAGGGAGTGGACTAATGGCAGGCACCTTCAACAATTCCCAAGTGTAAAGGTCCAGATATGCCACTCTCCAAATGAATGTGTATGTGCTCGTTGTATCCACTTCCAGCAGGCCCGGGCCCGCCCAGGCAATGTTCTCCACTTCTTCGCTGCCTAACGGGGGCGGATCCTCACCATCAGGGGTTCGTACAAAGCACATGAGGGCCCGTATGTGGAAGCCCATCTGGCACGGTGCCGTTTTGCTGCCCAGGTCAATCACGAAACGGCCACCGGTTTTTTTCTTTGCGAACTTGGCCCCCACGGAGACCACGTTTGACATGATCCAACCAAGGTTGAGCTCTCCATCCAATGTGCCACCAGCCCAAATGTTGGTAGTGTTTTCTTGGCCCATCGTGGCATTGTGTTTGAACTTTCCTTGGAATTGTACAATCAATCCCTTCCTTGGGCCATTCGTGTTCTCCGGCTTCACGTTGTGCGGTTCGTTCCCTGTGTCGTGGATGACATGGAACAAACCTTCAGGGATCGAGGGCACGCGACATGACACCCTGACACCCTGACTGTCCCGGCAATTCTCTTGAGGTATACGCATGTCCCGGCCTTTGAAGCCAGGTGAATCGAACTCTACTGGGGTTCCATTGATTTCTACAGGAACTTTGTCACCATTTGTGCTCCCTAACGCTAAGAAAAAAGGACGGCTCCGGTCGGCCATCCAGCGCCGTGCGCCTAGCTACAGCTTGAACAACAGTGGCTGCGAAACTTCAAATGCTGGGTTCCAACGTTCACGATGTTTCCTGTAGATGGGGCTGCCAGCACACTGCTCCGCGTTACGTACACGTGCCCCTTTAGAGATTGCAGCCCCGCACATGCGTGATCCCAAAAAAATTTTCACAGGAGGTGCCAGTGGGGTGGGGCCGCGTCACGCAGCACGCCCAATCAAGACCGTGTCATGCTTTGCAAGGCGCGGAAATCGTCTGCGTCTGGCTGGGCGAGAAGATGGTGGAGCGTGGGGTTGGTCGCCGTGAAGGCGGCCATAGGCGGTCGTTAGCTCCACTGCCCTCGGACAGGTGTTGCAAGGGCACGCCGCGTCTGAAGGGACAAACGGCGTTATAGTTATGGGCAACATTTACTGTGGCGAGAGCGGCGAACGCAGGCCATGTGTGTGGCCAGGCGAGACTGGTCACTGAGGCGAACGGCTCGGTGCACGGGCACGTCCGTTCTGTCCATTCCGGAGTCCACATCCGTTCCGGCCTTCCGTTCCGCTCCATTCTGTTCCGTTCTGTTCCGCTTTTTTTGTTGCAATTAAAACTTCGAGTACACAAATCTGCCAGGCTATACAGTAAGGCCGAGATGGTTTCCCGTCCCTGGAAAAATCATTCCACGCACCACTGGCCAGGTTTCTTCAGAAGTCTCTGTCTCGGCCATGGGCAGAAGCCAACTTGCATGGGCGAGGAAATGCCAGTTTTGCTCCCCGAGGTCTGCAAGGCTGAGTGTTTGGTTGCGCATGCGACTCATGCGCAAAGTTGGAGGAGCCGCGCTATCATCGTACGAGTAGCTTCTGGCATCGCTGGCCTGGCTGGCCAATATCCGAGGCACTCCAGGGACTTGAGATCGAGGTGGATCATCACGTTCACATAAAGCCACAGCGCTGTTTGAAATGACGTTGGCTTCGCTCTCAATCAAGCTTGATATGGCAGACAAGAGAGTTACTCGCTGCTAGGTTGCGCGCTCGAGCACTTGCAAAACATACTTCGGGCGATCACTCCAGAATACGCAATGACGCAGCAGAAAACGTGAAGCCTCAAACAGCACAAACGAACACATGAACACTTAACCCTTATCCGTGGTCGGTCCCAGCGCAGTGCAGAAGCAGGGCTCGAAAGCAATCACGGGAGGCGGTTGGCAAGGGCAGAGTTGACAAGGACCTCGCTGAGGAGCGGCGAGTCCCCATCAACACTGGCCGTGCCGACGAGGCTGCGAAGGTTCGCGTTGCTGCTGTGAAGGAGATGAGGGATGACCAGAGATGCGGCCCTGGAGGTGGTTGGGACGGCCGCGCCTGGCACCGAGCGGCAGTTGGCGGCCTCACTGACGCAGCGCCCCCCAACTTCAAGCGCGATGACGTGAGCCTGCAGCGGCGGGTGCGGCAGAGCTCCGGGTATGCGCGCTCCTTGGCCCGTCTGGCAGCCAGCAGGGCTGTGCCAGCGGGCTGACCCTGACCCTCGAAAACTCGTGCAGCATGCGGACCCGCCTGCGAGAGGAGCAGGGCATCGGCTTCGCATTGATCCTTGTCAAGAGACAAAATGAAACGCTGAGCGGCCGACCCCACAAAAGCAACCCGCCCAGGGAAGGCACGAAGCGGCAAACACACCTCCCGGCCGAAAGCAAATGGGGCCACGCAAGGCTCCAGCCCCGGCCTCCCACGCTGCCCCCGCCAAGGGCCAATACCCAAAACAGCCAGTTGGCATCCAGCGGGGTGCCGCGGAGCCGGTGCCAACAATGGGAGGTCGCCCCTCCCCTCGCCAGCCGCCTGCCGCGGATGCTGGTCCCCGCTCGACCGCCAAGCCCGGCCCCCGACATTGACTGGAGACACATGCTGCGTTGAAAAGGGTGCGCTGAAAAAAGAAACCAAGGTTCCTGCGTGTTGGAGCGAACGGGCAGCTGGTCCCCCAGCAATGGCTAGCACACAGCCCAATGTCCGCCCACAACCGCCGCCGCCTTGACCTCGTCATCTACGGAGCGACTCCGCTTGGCCGGGCCCTCTGCTGCGACGCGACGTTGGTCTCGCCGCTCTCGCGGACGGGTTTGCCCCAGCTTTGCGCCGCGGCTCACGATGGAGCTGCTCTGCGGGTCGCAGAGCGCCGCAGGCGAGCAGCTTACCCGGAGTTGCTCGCAGGCGGCCCGCAGCAGCTCGTCGTGCTAGGGACAGAGGTCGCAGGGCGGTGGAATGCTGGCGCGCGACAGCTGCTCCGTGACCTCGTGCGGGTTCGCGCTCAGCGCACCCCGCCAGCCGTGCGGACCGCGGCGTCGTCGGCATGGGCGCGCAGGTGGTGGGCGATCCTGTCCGTCTCGGTGCAACAGGCCGTGACGAGAACTGCCCTGGGATCCCCGTGGCCCTCCACCCCATGCCAGCCAGCAACAGGGCCCGGAGCTGGATCGGGTACTTGACCTTGCTGACACCGCAGGGCCGAGTCGCCTGCCGCTCCGCGGCCACTAGGGGCAGCTGCTGCCCGTGGCATAGGCCCCGACCGGACATCTGCGGATAGAAAAGAGGCGAGGAAAAAAATCACCGTTGAAGATGTCAAAGGCTGGGGTTCAGGTGCGTCGGTGCCGGCGGCCCCGACTCTGGTGGACACGGAGCTTCCATGTGATGACGGCAAGGTCACTCATGCTCAAAGCGATGCGTGGCAAGCCCGTGTCGACTGTTTTTCCAAAAGTTAAACAAGCCGCATGTGGTTAGACCTCGGACCATTTGAGCTTCAAACAGAAGGTGAGCGAAGGCCAAAAGCAGTATATGCTGGCAGTGGCGTGGCCGCCATCGTGGCAGCCCGGCTCCTGGTCAACCTCGTGATCCCTACAAATGAAGCTGGAAGCTGAGACCGGTCAGTGAGCTGTGGAGGATCTGGGAATGTCAGGAAGCAAGCCACCAGCTGGAATGAGAAGTTTGGGCCGCAGTCGCGAGCAGCTCCGGGTCTGTCCGTTCTGGAAGGCCTGGGCCCCAAGCAGCAGCTCACGGACGAACAGTTCCTGGCAGTCCTCGTTGGTCACAACGTGTCGCATCGCGGCACAGATGTGCGTTTGGACTGTGGGCTGCCGTTTGTGGCCTTGGACTTCGGGAGAAGGTCGGTGGACCCGACAATGTCGCTGCTAATTAGTCTACGACATGTCACGATGCTCGAAGCGCACCGCAAAGCTTTCCAACAAAAAGGCGATCCTCATGGTGGACAACCAAGGAGTAGATTGTCGCGCAGGGAAAATTTTTCGGCAAGACCTTTGCAGGGGCCACTGAGAAGGAGCGATGCCGATCGCCTCCCACGTGCGCTGGCTGGTGGTTGGCTCAAGAGCAAGCGGCACCTTGGAGATGGGCCCAGCCGCTGGGGAAAGCGGCGTGCCGTTGGAGATGCCTAGGGTCATATAGACTTTGAGCAAGCGCACTATATAAGCAGGCACGAAAAAAAGCGCGGAGAGCATCCCCTACTATTTGTGGTGGGGGGGGGGGGGGGTCAGAAATGGAATTTTCCATTTTCCAACGTCCTCTCACATGAATGTATGCACAGGTCTCTGGCAAACAACACTGCAAGCACAAATGCAGACCATCGGACATGACCGGCAAGCCCCTTTTTTGGCCAGCTCGAATCAGGCGACCATATTGGGATTGGGGAGGTGGAAAATGGACATTTCCAATTTGGACGTGGGGGTCCCCCTACCCTGGGCCTGATATACAACATACACTGAATGTTAGGGGGGGGGGGGTTAGCACCCCCCCCCCCCCCCCCACCTCCCCTGTCTGCAACAATGTCTGCAATGGTCCAATGCCGCTCGGTCATACTTTTTTTGTCCTCCCAGCTTGTGGTCCTCTTCCCCGCCCCAAACAACCAAGGTGTGCTGATGTAAAGCCGAAGGTAGGGGGACCCCCACGTCCAAATTGGATACAATTGAAAGCAGGGGGGGGGGGGGGAGGCGTACGTCCAGTTTCCAAATCCTTAAACTATCTGTTTCCAACGTTCCGCTTCCGGGATACCCAGAGAAAGAGAGGGTTTTAAACTGGAAAACCACACCCAGCCGGCAGTAGGGGGTGCCGAGGGGAAGGTTTAGGGAGGCTAAGGGAGGCTTAAAAAATGGAATCTGGACAGGGGGACGTCCCCAAACGCTGCGCACCCCCCCCATGATTTTCCAGTAAATGGGGTCATTGTCTTGATAGCTTTCGATTCCCAGGGCCAGGGGAAGGTTCAGGGAGGCTCTGGGAGGCTTGAAAATGGAATCTGAGCAGGGGGGACGTCCCCAAACACTGTGCAGGGCGCTCTTTGCCGCCCCCCCCCCTCATGAGTTTCCAATAAATGGGGTCCTTGTCTTCATACCTTTCGATTCCCAGCCGGCAGTAGGGGGTGCTGAGGTAAAGGTTCAGGGAGACTCTGTGCCCTGGGAGGCTTGAAAAACGGAATCTGGACAGGGGGGACGTCCCCAAACACAGAGCAGGGCACTCTTTCCCGACCTCCCCCCCATGATTTTCCAATTTATGGGGTCATTGTCTTCAGACCTTTCGATTCCCAGCCGGCAGTAGGGGGTAGGCTCTGGAGGCTTGAAAAATGGAATCTGGACAGGGGGGACGTCCCCAAACACTCTTTCCCCGCCTCCCCGCCCATGATTTTCCAATATATGGGGTCATTGTCTTGATATCTTTCGATTCCCAGCCAATACTAGGGGGTTCCTAGAGAAAGGTTCAGGCAGGCGCTTGAAACCCAAACGCCGTGCAGGGCACTCTTTCCCCGCCTCCCCCCCCATGATTTTCCAATAAATGGGGTCATTGTCTTGATACCTTTCGATTCCCAGCCAATACTAGGGGGTGCCTAGGGAAAGGTTCAGGCAGGCTCTGGGAGGCTTGAAAACTTGAAAATGGATTCAGGGCATCCAAGTCAACCCCGAACCTGCTTAGGATTTGAAATTGGGGTTTGGGGGGAGGGGGGGCTTCAACCCACAAACCCGACGTGCTAAACC